AACCCTAAATCCTAAACCCCGAACCCCGAACCCCAAACCCCAAACCCTAGACGCCCTGCCCGAGGCGCTTATCTGACCCGTCGACAGGGAGCTCCCCCCGCGCCCGTCTTGGCTGCTGCTTTCCTAGGCGCCCCCGAGATGCGGGGGCTGGACTGAGGCTTTGGGCTCATCAAGTAGGGGTTTTTTAAGGATCCTTTAGGGTTTAGGGTTTAGGGTTTAGGGTTTAGGGTTTAGGGAAGCAGATGTATACAGGGGTTTGCAAAGGGGTGCGTACAGGGGTTTATGAAGGGGGTTTGTAGGGGTCTAGGGTGGTATTTTAGGGATACCCCCTAATGAAGGAATATGCCGATACCCTGACATCATATAAGGATCCCTATGTAAGTTGTGTCACAAGGTATATTCCTGAAGGGAGGGTCTTGGGCCCTTGGGGAAACCATGTTCATGACGAGGCTCAGCAATGTCCCTGTCCTATGAGGTCGGTTTAGGGTTTAGGGTTTAGGAGTTTAGGGTTTAGGGTTTAGGGTTTAGGGTTGTCACTGCCGTCTTGCTGGCCAGGAGAGCTCCAGCGCCGGCACTTCGTGGAGTTGCAGCATGCGCCCTGGTGAGCCCTACCCAAAGGCTCCTATGTAGTACCTTTTTGGGGTAGGGTTTAGGGTTTAGGGTTCAGGGTTCAGGGTTTAGGGTTTAGGGTTTAGGGTTTAGGGTTAGTATACTAGAATCCCCTAGAACTAACCCCAAAAGGAACTACATTGGAGCCTTCAGGTAAGCCCTAGGAACCTAAACCGCAGGAATCTAAGCACTTAATCCCTCAAACCCTTAAACCTTTCCGTTTCATCCACTTCATGCGTATACCTTGATCCCACAGTTCGTGCTCTCAGCATGAGTTGAGATATGCTCCTGAATTCTGGACCGCTAGGGTTTATCCTACAAATAAGCCCTAAATCTACTTGTTCTTGTAGGGTCTGGCTATACAACCCTTTCATAGGATTCAAGAGGCAACCTAGAAAGAAGCAGGTTTTGGGTTCTCTTAAGGCAGGGTTTTGGGGGGGTTCGCCAAAGCAGCATCGAGGAAGCGCGCCTTGTGTATGCTGCCAGCCGACTGGGCGCTGACCGCCAGAGCATCCGGGAGCGACCCAGATTGCACGGTTGTTCGGGGGGCCTTCAGGTTGGCTAGGGTTTGGGGTTTGGGGTTTGGGGTTTGGGGTTTAGGGTTTAGCGTTTAGGGCCCCCCTTCTTCTAACAGTCCTTCATAGGGATTCTAGTACCCCCTTGTCAGAAGGCCTGTTAGGGACCGTTTATGAAAAGGGGGAACCTCCCAAGCTTAAGGGTTCCAGCCCGAAAGACCCCATTAGCTGGTGCCTCGGCCCGGAATGTCGGAGTGTAGGTTGGGGTCAATTTCATACCCCCTCGACCCTAAAAGTACCCTAAACCTCAAAGTTGGGAGGTTGCTGCACGGTTTAGGGCTTATGGCCGGCTTTGGTGGATTGAGTGTGGTGCGGCGGGCATGTTCCCCACCCCCGCTCCCAGAGTAAGTCGCCTTCGGAAGTATGCCCTTGCAGCACGAGCCGGATCTGATTCAGATTCTATACCAGACATGAAGAAGGGTTTATATTTCTGTTTTTGGTGAGTGTATATAAGGTTCCTTTTTAATCTTGGAGAGTGTATATACCGGGTGTCCTTCTTGGGTTTAAGAGGATCATACCTTTCAGACATTTTAAGGTCCTGGTATGTCATTCAGATCGTCGCTTCTCATATCAGAGGAGGGTGCTCAAGAAGTTGGAGAAACCCTAAACCCTGAACCCTAAACCCCCTGTTAATGCCAAGGCTGCTTCCCGCGCTCACGCAACGCATTCTGGAGGGGCAGGCAGGCGGCTTGTGCGCTGCCTGAAAGTTAGGGGCAGGGTTTAAGGTTTAAGGTTTAGGGCTTAGTGTTCAGTGCTTTCGCAGCTAGATGAGCCCCAAACAGGGTTGCTGGTCGATGTTCATAGGGGTTGGATTCGTAGATATGGGATATCCCAAAGGCCTAAACCCTAAACCCTAAACCCTAATGCTTCATCTGGTCCCAAAGGTAGCGAGAGGTCGGGTTTGTACGTACCAACAGTGGTTACCTTACAACTATTCGAGAGCTGTCTTTCTAACAACCCATGAACCCTCCCAATCTAGGGTCACCTTTGCTTGTTTGTTTAGGGTTTAGGGTTTAGGGTTTAGGGTTTAGGGTTTAGGGTTTAGGGTTTTTTGGGGGGGGGGGGGGGGGGGCGGGGGGTTCGAACGCGGCGCCAGGACAGCAAAGCCGCAGCTACCCTACTTACGGCCTACGCCCACAGCCTTGCCTCGGAGGTGGCGCGCTATCGTGCGCAATCTGTTGCTTTAGGAGTGAGGGTTTAGGGTTTAGGGTTTAGGGTTTAGGGTTTAGGGTTTAGGGCTTAGGGCTTAGGGCTTTAGGTTGTGAGGTTTAGGAGCGAGGGTTCAGGGTTCATAGGAGTTCAGAGTTCAGGGCTGCAGGTTTTGAGCTTGAGGTTCAGAGGTAAAGTGGAAAACAGGGAAGACGGGTTGGGGTTTAGGGTTTAGGGTTTAAGGTTTAGGGTTTAGGGTTTAGGGTTCACACGCGTGCATCCGCATTGCGCCGTCCTCTGCACTGGCTAGCGCGGCTCAGCGAATGCCACTAGCTGTGGGAGGAGGACAGCCTGCATCTATATAGAACTTTACGTACACACACATGCACAAGTACTTTGTGATATATGAGACAAGTATACACATGTATAAACATAAGCAAATACATAAATAAGACTAAGACGATATATATATATATAGATAGCCATGTCTCATTGCCATGTGTCTCGATTCTATCGCTACCCCATACTCCCCGAAGCATCACGCGCAAACCCCCTTGAAGCGAACCTCCCCCAAAAACTCCGAGGCCCAAGCCCTGAAGCCCTAAACCCTAAACCCTAAACCCTAAACCTAAACCCTAAACCCTAAACCCCTAAACCCGAAACCCTAAACCCTAAGAAGCTCCGAGGCCTCCGCACAGGAAAAGGCCATGAGCCTGCAGCTCCTTGAGCTCGTGTTGAGAGGCGGGGGGGCCCGAAATCCTAAACCCTAGACCCTAAGCCCTAGCCCTAAACCCTAAACCCTAACCCCCAAACCCTAAACCCTAAACCCAAGATCTGCGCTGAAAAAAGCCATGATCTCCCAACAGCCCACTTATTTATTATAGGTTACCTAAAAAAGGGTAGGGTTTTGGGCTCTTAAGGGAAGGGCTCCTCATTTGGCATCCAGGCCCCCCCCACCCTGGAAAAAAGTAGGACACTGTTGTCTTTACTTGAAGGTTTAGGGTTTAGGGTTTAGGGGTTAGGGTTTAAGGTTTAGGGTTTAGGGTTTTAGGGTTTTAGGGTCCTGCTTGAAGGTTCATGGGACTTAATAACCACTTATGACTGGGCTTATAACCCTACTTATAATTGGGATAACCCCTATAAGGCCCTTTAGGGGTCGTATAAGTAGGGTTACAAGTACAGTTGTAATTGGTTAGTAGGTACCATGAACCGACAAGATGGAGTTAGGTTTTGATGAGACAACCCCTGTATGGTGGCTGAACCTGTGCTGCGCTGGCGCTATAGAATTTGCCCTAAACCCTAAACCCTAAACCCTGAACCCTGAAATCCAAGAATCCCACACCCCTTTTTCAGCCTTGTGCAGCGTTAAGTACCTTAGGACCCACTTCTGAACTTCACAGGTTCCATACACCCCCCTAGGTTCCCCCCTTCAATCACCTCAATTAAGCCTAATCATCCCTAAATAGCCTTGGAGGGGGGTAGTAGCCCTAAACACTAAACCCTAAACCCTAAACCCTAAACCCTAAACCCTAAACCCTAAACCCTAACCCTAAGCCCTAAGCCCTAAGCCCTAAGCCCTAAGCCCTAAGCCCTAAGCCCTAAGCCCTAAACCCTAAACCCTAAACCCTAAACCCTAAACCCTAAGCCCTAAACCCTAAACCCTAAACCCTAGACCCAGAGGCACTTCCGATAGCCTCCAACCGGCCGCTTTGGCCTCGCTGCTGCGCTGCGCGACGCGGCTGCGGCTGCCCATGGCCCGAGGCCCCCAGCAGGCAGCCGCAGGAGTTGTTGAGGGTTTAGGGTTTAGGGTTTAGGGTCTAGGGTTTAGGGATTCTTTCGTGCTGTTTGGGTGGGTGGGGAGGTTTGGGAGTTGGGTGGAGGGTTTAGGGGGGAAACCCTCGCCTGGCTTGTCCGAGTGTGAGCGATTAAACACTAAACCCTAGACCCTTTTTGGGTTGAGGGTTCAGGGCGGCCGCAGCTCTAGGAACCCTATAAACCCTAGAAGCCCTACCCCCGGGTGCCCTTGACATTAGGGTCCGTGCACTAGGATGTCCCCCCCGTATACTAACAGTCCTTAACGGGGATTCTCGTACCCCTTTTCGAATCCCTGTGAAGGACTGTCAATCTAAGGGGAGCATCCCAATATTCTCCTGAAACCCCTTACACTAACCCCTAATCCCTCTTAAGGACTGTCAGTATACGGGGAATATTCTCCTAATACCCCCTGCGCTAACCCCTAAACTCTTCAAGGACTGTCAGTATGAGGGAGAGCGTCCCTAAACCCGGCGTAAACCCTAGACCCCAGCCCCCAGACCCCAAACCCTGCTCACCATGCGGCCCTAAACCCTAAACCCGAAACCCTAAACCCTAAACCCTAAACCCGAAACCCTAAACCCTAAACCCTAAACTTGGTCTGTGGGTTTGGGGTTTAAGGTTTAGGGAGCCCTAAGCCCTGAATCTCTAAACCCTGCCTGAGCCCTTTGAGACTCATTTGAGACCGGGGGGCCTGGGCTCTCTGGCTTCCAGCAACCTTAACCCTAAACCCTAAACCCTAAACCCTAAACCCTAAACCCTAAACCCTAAACCCTAAACCCTCAACCCTCAACCCTGAACCCTGAACCCTGAACCCTAAACCCTAAACCCTAAACCCCAAACCCCAACTTCGCCATGGACGCTGGCATCGAGCTGCAGCATCGCCCCACAGGGGCCTTGTCCTCGCGGCCGTCCTGGTTTTCTTTTCCAGCAACATGGCAGGGTTTAGTTCCAAACCACCTGAAGCCCACTACTAAACCCCTAAACCCCTAAACCCCTAAACCCCTAAACCCCTAAACCCCTAAACCCCTAAACCCCTAAACCCCTAAACCCTTAAACCCCTTAACCCTAAACCCCTAAACCTTAAACCCTAAACCCTAAACCTGAGGCTGGCCGAGAACCTGAGAGCTTCGCCCAGCAGACACGCGTCAAGTTTCTTGGGGGCCAAACGAACACTATCATTGGGGTTTAGGGCTTAGGGTTCAGGGTCTAGGGTTTAGGATTAGGATTTAGGGTTTTAGGGTTTAGGGCCGTTTAGGGTTTAGGGGTTAGGGTTCAGAGTTTAGGGTAACCCTGCAATAAGTAGATACGGACCACTAAAACTCTAAACCTCAACCTTAAATCCTTTACGGTGTTTAGGGAAACCCTAAACCTTAAGCCCTAAACCCTTTTAGGGTTCATTTTGGTCCCCAAGGTTCGCCACAGGGGTCTTCGCCGGGATCGCGCTCATCGGATCCCTAGCGCTGGCCGCTTTGAACCTTGGATGGGTTTAGGGTTTTAGCACACGCACACATATAGATATGTGAACATACTTATATATACATATATGTAACTTATATGTATGCATATACGTACTGAGTGTGGTCTGGGAACTGTTTTTAATATCTTCATATTCAAAGTATACATTTTCACATGGCAGTCTCTGCCTTTTCATATGCATATGCTTCTGGACGTGTATGGACGTACTTCTTCATGTCCAAGTTTTCATGTGCACCTCTCGTCTCTGCGTATGCTTGCTACCTCTACCGGCCTACCTACCTATGCATTGGCGCCCTGTAGGCCAAGCAGCGGCCGGAAGGCATGGGTTTGCTGGGGGGGTCGTACCCAATGGCCCATAGCCCTAAACCCTGTCATCCAAGATGTGGCCGATGAGCGGAGGGGGGGGTTTAAGGTTTAGGGTTTAGGGTTGGTTTAGGAATTTGGGGTCCAGAGTTCAGAAGTTTGTTTGTAGCTTGGTGACGATGAAAGAGGAGCGTGCCAAGGTGTGATGAGTAATTTGGGTGTGATTTGTTGCTCCAGTTTTTGTGGTGTCTTGGCAACTGGTTTCGAATTAGATATGCAAATATACGATAGTACATCTATAGCAACAATCTTGTACAGCATTTGGTAATCACGTATACTAATATATATATATATATACTAATATAGTATATATATATAGAGAGAGAGAGAGAGCCGTTTGTAAGAACGTTTTCTGATGACGAACACTATTTACTAATGTAGAGGCAAAAAACGAAAACGTGAATGCCACAAAATGATGTATAAGCTGTCGGGCTTAATTGCTCGCATCTGGCTTGGTCCTTCGTTTCATGCCGGTCAAATCGCCAGCGCGAGGCCAAAACCCAAGACCTAAACCCTATACCCTAAACCCTAAAGCCTAAAGCCTAAACCCCATCACCATCTCCCCACAACAGCAAAGACTAGGTGAATGCTGTGAACCTAGTCTTTGCTGTTGTGGGGAGATGGTGATGGGGATGCCTCGGGGCCCTTTTTGCTGAGGGCACATACGAGAGATCACGATTGTTCCCTGCGGAGTGATCCCAGAGGGGGTCTGCTAGGCGGGTGGCAAAAAAAAGCCTAAACCCTAAACAGCCCAGGAACCTCCTTGCTCAGCAAGACGCGCGACTTGCGCTGATCTTCGAGCCATGCTTTCCAGTCTTGACCCCGCTGCTGTTCTTCTTGCTGGCAGGCACCTTGGAGACCAAATCAACCCTAAGATTGGGGGTTTAGGGTTTAGGGTTTAGGATTTAGGGTTTAGGGTTTAGGGTTTAGCGTTTAGGGTTTAGGGTTTCGAAGATGGTTACTGGGCTGCCAAGGCTAAGATTGGGGGTCAGAATGCCCTGCCCTACTGCTTTGTCGACGGCAATCCCGTAGTACGGTTTTGGGTTTAGGGTTTAGGGTTTAGGGTCATAGACCCTATGCTAGGATTATCCGTATGAAGGTCGTTTCGTCCGTCAGTAGCCTGAAGATGCCAGCCTGCTTTATCCCCTCCCCGCCCAGCCACCACTGCATTCACAACAAAAATGTTGGGCCTCAAACCATACACCCCAAACCCTAAACCCTTAACCCTACACCCTAAACCCTTAACCCTGAACCCTACCAGAACCCCATTGCCAAAGCCTGCTTTTGTGTAGGCTCTTCTGAGAAAAAGTCGCTTATCCTCCAACTTCGACGGGCTGTTTCGATGTTCGGGGGCTTACAACAGGCTGTGTAGGAACTGGGGCGATTCTCATGTTTTCCCTTCTTTGGGTTTTGGGGGATCTAGGACACGTTTCAAGAATGTTTTCGGGGGCTGTAAGAAGCAACCTAGAAGGCATGGGGCCACTGGTGCCCTCCGTCCTAGGTGGCACTGCGTGTGGCCTCTGGATCACCACCTGCGGGCGTGCGCGCGCCCGCGACCGCGAGGACAAGCACAGTTGGATCCAGGCCTTCAAGGCCAGCGGAAAGTATTTCCACGCCAAGGTGGCTTTGCTCGAGGTACCTTGGCAGCCAAGTGGTACCTATTTTCCCCTTTTTTGTTTCAAGGGTTCCCGATTACAATTTAACCAACCCCCCAAGAAGGGGTACCCTTATGGGAAGGTTACTGGTCCCCTAAGCCCTAAACCCTAAACAAGAAGGACCCTGGCTACCAAGGTACTCCAACTCTTCAACCAGGGACGAACCCTCAGGAGGCTGCTCTTTGTGGGGCAAGGCGCATTCTGGGTTCGCGCCTACTCGGCCTTGATCTGCGCGAACGCCGTGGTGACACCACTACTCCATTTCTCCCCTCGGGCTTCTTGGCTTAAACGCCAAGAGTTGAACTTCTTACACTTTCTGGGGCTTCTTGGTGGTAATGATGCAGCTTAGCAGCTTACCCTTTTCTGCTCCTTGCATGTTGGGGAGAAGCAAGGTTCAACACAACACCTTCTTCCTGACCATCTTCGATGCCTTCGTCGACACGACCTTCGGTGCGGTCCTCCCCGCTTGCATGGTCGCGGAGGCCGCGGTGGACTTCTGGGTGGACGTGGACATCGTGTACATCGGCGAGAAGAAGCTTGCACCTCCACAGCTGCAAGAAGCTATAGGGGTTGGGGGTTTAGGGTTTAGGGTTTAGGGCTTGGGGTTTTGGGGCTTTTAGGGTGTAACTCTTCTTTAGGTTTCGGGTTTTTAGGGTGTAGCTCTTCTTTAGGTTTCGGGTTTTTAGGGTGTAACTCTTCTTTAGGAGCCCCAAGAGTTTTGGCCGTTTGCGACAAAAGGGGCCCACCTCTCAAAGGGGAAGCTGAGGTGCAGGCCTTCTTGATCGGACAAGGACTGGTCCCAACGACTGGCACCTCGGTAGGCCCGTGGGTCTTTTTTTTTGTATTTCGCCTTATTGGGGTTTAAGAGCATCATAACCCTAATCCCTAAACCCCGAAACCCTAAAACCCTAATTTGGTTGTATCATAACCCTAAACCCCGAAACCCTAAACCCTAATTTGGCTTAAGAGGAGCATGTTCAGGCAACATTTTTTCAAAGTTTTGTTTTTTTAATGGGCCCTCCTAGGCACACAGCTGCTCTCACTGGCCTGGCCATACCTTTCCCTGTGCCTTGGGGACGCAAGGAACCCAAAAAGGGCTTATGCTTCATCTTACCTTCACAGGGATTGTAGTAGTATTGGGCACCCTCAACCCTAAACCCTAAACCCTCAACCCTAAACCCTAAGCCCTAAACCCTACACCCTACGCCCTAAACCCTAAACCCCAAACCCTACATTCATTGGGTCCCCAAGGTGGGTGAAGCTCCTCGACCTCCGGGATGCACGCGAGTTGTGGGGCCATGGGTCCATCATGGACCAGAGGCGCAGGGTGGGTGGTAGGGTTTAGGGTTTAGGGTTTAGGGTTTAGGGTTTAGGGTTTAGGGTTTAGGGTTTAGGGTTTAGGGTTTAGGGTTTAGGGTTTAGGGTTTAGGGTTTAGGGATGGGCCAGAGGCGCCGGGTCTGCGGCCCCTGGCTGTTTGGGTGCTCGTACCTCCTCCTGGGGCTGTCCTTCGGGCTCCTGGGGGTCACTGCACGGCAGCGGTCCCCGTGCTACAGCAAGCCCTGGCGCACCTTGGGGGAAAGAGATGAGCCCTATTCAGGGATGTGTGGGTCAGAAAATAACCTTAATAGGAATTCTAGTAGTATAGGGATATAACCTCAATAGGAATGATAGCAGTGGAGGGATATAAGCCCTTAAAAAAGGAATCATAGCAGTATAGGGTATATGAGCCCAAGTTGGGGTTCGTGTGGTCGCCAAGGCGAGGGCTGCGAGGTCTTCCGGTTCGACTTCTTCGGCCGGTCTTGCGAGCCTTGGGGGACCACATGAACCTTAAAATTGGGTTTAGGGTTTAGGTTTTAGGGTTTAGGGTTTAGGGTTTAGGGTACCCTATACTGCTATAATTCCTATTAAGGTATGATATATACTATAATTCCTATTAATTAAGGATAAGTAAGGTATTTTGGGGTCATATACCCTATACTACTATAATTCCTTTTAAGGTGTATGAACCATAAACCCTTTTAGTCATATACCCTCTACTACCATAATTCCTATTGAGGTATGTGAACCATAAACCCTTTTAGTCATACACCCTATACTACTATAATTCCTATTAAGGTGTATGAACCATAAACCCTTTTAGTCACATACCCTATATACCCTATACTACTATCATTCCTATTAAGGCAATATGAGCCCTAAACCCTTTTAGGGTTCATTTCGTCCCCAAGGAGTGCGCCTACTACGCGAGAGAGTTGCAGTGTGGGAGCATCTTGGCAGCGTAGTGGTGCCCCTTTTTCCCCTTTTTTTGGCTCAAGGGGTTCCCTTGTAGGGTTTACGGTTTAGGGTAACCAACCCCCATAAGGGTACAGTACCCTTATTGTCATATGGTTACTGGGCCCTAAACCTAAACCCTGTTTTTGCTGGGCTAGCCAAGGCGTGCAGCAGCTGGAAGCCATGCTGCGGGAGTCCAAGTGGCTCCAGGTGCTCCACTTGGAGAACTGCGGGGAGACACTCCGCACACTCCCTCCCTTCACGATCCTCGGTCGGCCCTTGCGGGGCATGTTGCATATTCTCCCCTATTGGGTTCAAGAGGAGTATGGTTTAAGAAACCCTACACCCTAAACCCTAAACCCTAAACCCTAAACCCTACAAACACGTCTTGCAAGAAGGGTTTCAAGGGGGCCCATCCGAGGAACAACGCCAGGCTTCGGTTCCTGCTCCTCAATCGCAACAGCCTTCGGGAGCTCCCTCCCTTAGGCGCGCTGTGGGATCTCAGGGAGCTGCACGTGTCCGGCAACCTGCTACGCGAGCTCCCAGATCCTTAGAAAAGCTGAATTTAGTGCTCCTTCATCCACCTTTTTGGGATATCCTACAATCCCCTATAGAACTTAGAAAAGCTGAATTTAGTAAACCTTATACACCTTTTTTGGATGCTGTAATCCCCTGTAGAACTGAAAGTGTGCACTTTTAGTACACCTTATAAATACTCCTTTATCCACCTTTTTGGGATATCCTATAATCCGCTATAGAACTGAAAGTGTGCACGGGGGGCTTAGGAACTCATCAAGTAAGGATCTGTCCTCCAACGGGGCGCTCCAGTTCATTTCCGCGGAGCTCCTCTGCTGGGTTTAGGGTTTAGGGTTTAGGGTTTAGGGTTTAGGGTTTAGGGTTTAGGGTTTAGGGTTTAGGGTTCTTTGCTGTAGTATATGGTTTGCTAGGCTTCCTGTGCTAGGTTGGCTTTTGGGACATTTCAATTTTCCCACTTTGGGTTTATAAGGGGCCCTATATTTACATATTGTTCAGAGGTTTTAAAGGCCAACCCAGTGTGCCATATGAACATACTTCCGGATCTTTGGAAAACTGGCGCGGGAAGCTGAACCAACATCACAGCGTTGAAGACCTGTGGAAAACCCCCTAAACCTTAAATTCAAGAGCCCATGGATCCTCAGACCTCCAGCGTCCGAACCGACCGCCAACAGAAAACCTAAACCCTACACCCTAAACCCCCAAAACAACCAAAACCTTGAAACCCCAAACCCTCCCAATGAAAAGTCCCAAAGCCCCCCTAAACCCTAAACCCCAAGCCCTAAACCCTAAACCCTAGAAGGCACAACCAGCTGACCGAGTTGCCCTCCCTGGCCGGCAACAGGGAGTTGCGGTACCTGATGGCCGATTCCAACAACATCTCCGTGCCGCCAGACTTGCGCACCTGCGCGGCAGGGAAGTTCTAAGTAGGGTTCCGGTCATCCGGGAGCAGATGGCATGTGCACATTTTCAATTTCAGAAGAAGGTGGGGTTCCCAAAACGATAGATGGAATATGGGTCAGGGGCTTGTGGAACCCTCCAGCGTGCAGCTTCTCTTCTTGTTATCTTCCTCTCATCTTCCCGTCTCCTCTTCCACTCCTCTGCCACTCCTCGTACGGTCCTGTTCCTGTTTAGGGTTCAAGGGTTTAGGGTCTAGGGTTTAAGGTTTAGGGTTTAGGGTCCTCTTCCTGTCCTCTTCCTCTCATCTTTTTCCTGTCGTCTTCCTCTCCTCTTCCTGTCCTCTTCTGTAGAGCTGCCCTGCCCTGAACCGATGTGTAGGTAGCTATTTGTCGTGAAGTCCCCTTCTGTCTTCTTCCTCCCCTCTTCCTTTTCCCCTCCTCTTCCCATCCTCTTCCGTTCCTCTTCTTTTCCTCTTCCCGTCCTCTTCCTCTCCTCCTCTTCCTCTCCTCTTCCTGTCCTCTTCCACTGCTCTTTCTCTCCACCTCCTTGTCCCTCTAGGCAAGCATATTCCTTCTATGGGTTCTGCCCCACCAATTTTGGAATGCCATCTACTCCAGGATGACTATAGAAGTACCTGAATTAAAGTCATGAGACAGGTTCCCCCCCCCCCCAAAAAAAAAAATAAATAAACCCTACACACACACACACACTCTTTTGTGATGGCTTTTTGTGTGCTGACACATACTCGGACCTATGGGCTGGATGAAAGGGTATCGGCTGGAGGGTTTATCATAAGCCTGTTCAGGGTCTAGGGTTCAGGGTCTAGGGTTTAGGGTTTAGGGTTTAGGGTTTAGGGTTTAGGGTTAGGGTTTAGGGTTTAGGGTTTAGGGTTTAGGGTTTAGGGTTTAGGGTTTACGGGGTCCATCTGGGGAGCCCATCTGAGTTCGGGGGCCCCTTTTTTTGCGGAGAAGGAGTAGACCAGAAGTCGCAGACACCCGAAAGAAGGGACCCGAGCATCACTTAGGCCATCATCCCCCACTTTAACCTTCGCTTTAGGGTTTAGGGATTAGGGTTGAGGGTTTGATGAGAATCCCGGTACTACCCCCCAAGAAACACCAAAATGGCATGTCGCAAGACGCCCTCAACCATAAACTCTCACCCCCTGCCCCGACAACAAAAAAGCAAAACTTATCCCCCACCCCGGGCCACACCCAACAAAAAGCAACAGAGACTCCTGAACTCTCCACCCAACAGAAAGCCCAAGAGGATCGAACCCTAAACCCTCAACCATGAACCCTAACTAAGTCCTCAACCCCAAACCCTAAACCCTAAACCCTAAACCCTAAACCCACGAGGGAAAAACTCTGAGCTCCTTGCCTTGGGTTTGAACCACAACGATCTCGTGGAGGCGCCTCTGGATTAAGATGGTTCAGGGTTTAGGGTTTAGGGTTTAGGGGTCTGAGGGGTCTAGGGCCTAGGTTTAGGGTTGTTAAGGGTTTGGGTTTAGGGCTTGTCTGTTGCACAAGGGTTCTTAAGGGTTTAGAGAAGCAGGGTTCTTAAGGGTTTAGGGCTTTGGGTTCGTCAGGGTTTGAGAGTAAAAGGCTTGTTCAGGGTTTGGGGTCTTGTTCAGGGCCAGTAGTATCGCAGGGGTTTAGGGTTTAGGGTGTAGGGTTTAGGGTTTAGGGTTTAGGGTTGGTTCTTAGGAGCGCGTTTTACAAGAAGGGAGGGGGCAGCTGAACTTTGGGGAATACTAGGCTACAAGTTCCCTACTTCCCCCCTCGCCTTCAGGACTTGCTAAGTTATGAAACCCTAAACCAAACCCTTAAATCCCTTAAACGTCAAACCCCTACAACCCCAGACCCCTCAACCCTAAACCCTATAAATCCTATAAACCCTCATAACCCCCTTAAACCCTAAACCCTCTAAACCCCCCAAGCCCCTTAACCCGTTAACCCTAAACCCTAGAAACCCTGAACCCCAAACACCTTAACCCGTGAAACCCTGATCCCTACAACCCCTAAACCCTAAACCCTAAACCCTAAACCCTAAACCCTAAACCCTACACCCTACACCCTACACCCTACACCCTACACCCTACAAACCCTAAACCCCTTAAACCCTAAACCCTGCAAACCCCCGTAAGGCGCCTTCGCTGGTGGGCAACCTGAAGCTTGAGCAGCTGTACCTGGAGGGGAACCTGGGGCTCTTCGGAGGGGTGCTTTAAGGGTTTGGGGTTTAGGGTTTAGGGCTAGGGTTTAGGGTTTAGGGTTTAGGGTTTAGGGTTTAGGGTTTAGGGTTTAGGGTTTAGGGTTTAGGGTTTAGGGTTTAGGGTTTAGGGCTCTAAGCTTGAACAGCTGTACCTGGAGGGGAAGCTGGGACTGTTCGGAGGGGTGCTTTCAGGTTGTTTAAAGGGTTTAGGGGTTTATTGGTGTTTTAAGGGTGTTTTAAGTGTGTTTAGAAAGGAAGGGTGTAGGGTTGAGGGCGTAGGGGCAAAGGTGATAAAAAAAAAGTTTAACAGGTGCTTTTAGGATGCCTACAGGGTAGTTCGAGGTTTTTTCCAGGGTGTTTTGAAGGTTGGTTAATGGGTGTGTTAAGAATTTTTGAAGGGTGTTCTAAGGTGTTTTGGGTTTAGGGTGTTCAGGGTTTAAGGCATGTTGGGTTGGGGTGTTTAGGGTGCTTAGGGTGTTTAGAACAAAGGTCCAGACAGTTCAGGGTTTTGGGTGTCAAGGGCGATTTACGGTGTTTGGGGGCGTTCGGGAGTTTATGGTGTTTAGGGTGCTTAGGGTGTTTGCTGTGTTCGGAGGCTTTTAGGGCGTTTTGGGGTGTTTTAAGGCTTTCAGGGTGTTCGGGTATCAGGGTTCAGGTTTAGGGTGCTTAGGGTTATTCGGGTGTTTAGGGTGTTCAGGGTGTTCAGGGTTGAGGGGCCTGATGGGTATGTGTTCTTTGTTTTTGCTTTTGTTTGGGGGGGTGGTCTGTCTTGTTGCAGGCATGATGCTGGAGATTCTTCTTGAACATATGAGCAGTTGCCTAAGTTAGCGCCCCTTTTGTGATCCTTGGTTTAGGGTTTTAGGCCTATGATTTCGAGAACCGTCCGTACCTTGTTGATTTCCGGCCCTATACCCGAAACCCTACATGCAGAACCCGGAACCCGGAACCCGGAACCCGAAACCCCAACCCACCCCCATCAAAGACTCGTGAGCTTAAGGAACAGCCTCACTGAGCTTCCCAGCTTGAAACTTGGCAGGATTCATGAACCCTAAACCCTAAACCCTAGGTTCCAGGTTTTGGGCCCCATAGGCTGGTCCACGGGTCGTTGAATTTCAAGGACAACAGGTGTGTTGTTTAGAGGGGCCAGGGCTTGCAGTTTGCAGTCTAGGGTCCCTAAACCCTAAACCCTAAGCCCTGAACCCTAAACCCCAAAGCTCACTTGGCCTACTTGGAGGTTCAGGGTACTTGCAACCTCAAGTCTAACTGTACTTATAGGCCTTCTAAGCAAGATGAAGTAGACTCATGATTGGGGCTATAAGTTCCCACGAACCTCCAAGTAGGCCCCGGCTGCGTCTCTTGGATGATATACGGGCCAAAGAGCGGGCTTCCAAGCTTCAGGGTGAGCAGTAAGCCCTTCCTGAAGCACCCCAAAACCTACTTTTCAAGATTAGGGTACGCAAGAATCCTATAAGGGGGCTAGAAAATAGGAGCCTACCAACAATAGGTAGGCTTGGGCTTCTGAAGGTGAAGTCTACACCTTCTTGAAAGGAAGGGTTTAGGAGGTAGCTGTCAGCGGCAACCGAGGAACTTGCCGAGGCTGGAAATACTCAATGCAGCTGGGCAAGTTCGGCAAGCTTTCCGATGCGCACCCACCCCCATTCCCCTGCACGTGAAGTTTTCAACTGACGGCAGTTTAAATCAACTAAGAAGCTGATTCACTTGGCGGCTCATTCACTTGGCAGGTCTGTCAGACGCTTTCTGTGCTCTTGCCTAGGAACCCCAGCGCCCAGCCAGAGCTTCTTAGTTAGTGCCAGCGCCTTTCGCATGCAGCAGTGTTCTAATATTGCAAGAGCCCCCTAGTCAGACAAAAAACTATATACAAGGCTCCGTATGAAAGCACTCGGCAGGCCCCCTAAGCCTCAAAACCAACCCACCCTCAACCCTCAACCCTCAAAACAACCCACGCCCCTAAACCCTCAACCCTATGCCCTAAACCCTTGGCAAGGCAGAGGCGAACCTTCTGAAGTTTCTGCCCTCCTTGCATGCTGCCCCGGCGCTCTCACAGCTCTGGCTCATGGCCAACGAGCCACTGGGGGGTTGATTAGGGTTTGGGGTTTAGGGTTTTGGAGCAAATGGTTGTTGTTCTACAGGCCCCCAAAAGCCTAAAATGTAACCCGATGAACCCCATAGACATGTACAACTTAACTTCTAGGTCCCCCAGACCCCACCGTCGCTGCCGGACAGGCTGTTCTCTGCACGCTTATTTATAGAAGTTCTATTCAGCTCACCTGAAAACCACTCCAACCCACCCACCCAAAGAAAACGCGACAATCTCGGAGTGTCGTCACTGGCTGGAGACCAGTCAAGGCTGGAGGAGTTACCGAGCATGGACGCCAACACCAAGCTAGAATTCCTGGACGTCACGCAGAATCGGCTGCGAGTTCTTCCTTCGCTTGAGAAGGTGCGTGCGCTCGCCTGCCTGAGAGCCAGCTCCAATGCCTTGCAGGCGATTCCCGCGATCAGCCCTCGCGCAAGGTGGGGTGTCCGAACCCTAAACCCTAAACCCTAAACCCTAAACCCGAAACCCGAAACCCGAAACCCGAAACCCTAAACCTTACCATCGTCAACTCCCAGGTTGGCGGAGCTGTCGGTGGCTTACAACCAGCTGCGGCAGTTGGACCTTTCGGGGATGGAGTTTCAGTCGCTGAGAATACTCAACGTGCAGGGAAACCTCCTGGAGTCGATACCAGGGCTGGGAGGATTGGCTTCCTTGACCCTTCTAGGGATACTTGGGAATATGTTTTTTTCTTCATTTTTTGGGTACTAGAATTCCGAATGAAGCAGCTGAATGGTCATTTTTTTGCTCGGCTTCCAAGTTCAGTGAAGGACCCACCTTGGGCTGCGTGGGAACCGCTTGAAGCAACTGCCGGCCTTGGTAGCAAGAAAGTTGCACGCGCTGGACGTGTCGTCAAACCGCTTGCAAGAGCTGTCGCTGCCGCACTACCTCCCCTTGCAGAAGCTTGCGCTCAATCATGTGAGAAGAGCCCTTGCCCATTTTTTGGTTGTCTTTCCGTACTGATCGACAAAGCTGAGCTTTACTAAGTTGTTCTGTAAGTACCGGAGAAGACAGGCATCTGAGTGCAGACCACAATCAGCTGACCTCCATTCGGGGCTTGGACAAGATGACGGACTTGATCTTCTTACACCTTCGGCACCTTGGGGACTAGATGAACCCTATAATTGGGGTCATCATACCCTATGCCAATATCATCCCTATCAAGGTATATGGACCATAAACCCTGTTAAGGTTCATTTCGTAGATTTTAGTCCCCAAGGAATAACAGCCTCACGGAACTTCCGGACTTGGAAATGTGTACACAATTGAAGCGCCTGTCCGTGAACGACAACCTGCTTTCATCCATTGGCCCTCTCCCACGGTTGCTGTTAGAGCTGAACGCTTCAACGAACCGCTTACGCCAGATGCCTCCTTTCCCTGACGGTAGCTATCTGCACATTCTGAATGTCGAGGACAACCTGTTCGAGGAGCTCTCTTTTCTGACCTTTAGCCACCTGATATACTTGAACGCGCGTGACAATAAGCTGAAGCAGCTTCCGACCTTGCAGCACGTCACGGAGTTGCGCTACCTGGATGTTTCTGGCAACCAGCTGACCTCTCTACCACCACTGCAAGACACTCGCTAGGCTGTTGGGACATTTTACATATATATATATATATATTTATTTATTTATTCATTTTTTCCCTTCTTGGGATTAAAGGGATCCTATTCAGGCAAAATTTGTTCAGGGGGTTTTTAGTAGGTGCCATCCTAGGACCTCTCCTACATCATGGGCCTGTGTGTGTCCAACAACAGCCTCTTGGTAGCCCCAGTGGGTACCCTCTACCCTTTCTTTTTTTGGTTATGGGTTCCTTTACAAAGTAACCACCCCCCAAAAAAAATGCCCTTATCATAAACCCTAAACCCTAAACCCTAAACCCTATGGTTACTGGGCTACTCAGGCCTGCGGGCGCTGCCGAACCTCTCCGGCCTCCACTTTCTCCACTCCGTGGGCTGTGCTGGCAACCCCCTGAAACAGACTCCCCACCTGGAGGTCACCTGTGACTGGGCCGTTGTTATGGGTTTAGGGTTTAGGGTTTAGGGTTTAGGGTTTAGGGTTTAGGGTGTAGGGTTTAGGGTTTAGGGTTTAGGGTCATGTTACATGTTTGTGAATACTGAAACCAAATAGGATCCAAAATGATAATTTTAAGATAGTGCTCCAACAATGGTGCAGGTGACTGCTGTGCAGAGGCCGTGGTGCATGAAGGCCGGCTGGCGTGGTGCAACAGACACAAGGAGGAGGAGCCGTGGGATGATCCAGAGCTTGAGACGTGAAAATCCGATTCTCTTGGCTTTTGGTAGGCCAGTCACGAGTAGCTTGTTAGGGTCCTTATGATAAGGGGATCCTACTATTCGGGGATCGATGTTGGGGGTCTCCTATTTTCGTCAACCCCCCAAATGCAGCACATGCGCGCATGGCAACCCGCCCCTTTCTCAAAAGTGCAGCTGCCGACTGTCTGGGGATGTTTATTACTTGGAGGTTCATGGTACTTATTAACCATGTATAACTGTACTTATAACCCACTTTTATAATGGTTATAAGTACAGTTATAGGTTAATAAGTACCATGAACCTCCAAGTAGGGTTTGGCCAGGGGTCAAAACTGACAGTACAGGGGTTAATTAAGGTTTAAGACGAGGCCCCCCCGCCCTCCCTCTACAAGGAGGGGCCCCCTTACTATACTAAGTGTAGTTAAGGGACTTGCAACCTAACTTAGCATCCTTATAACCCAATTTAGGGCTCTCATAACTCTACTTATAACTAGGGGGCCCCCCTAAACCCTAAACCCTAAACCCTAAACATTCCTTGTACACTTGAAGGCATTTCTGAGTGTGCAAGGCAGCTGCCGCCAGCCTACGGCGTGCGCTTGCCAGTGGAGAGGCGCGGTTGAACCTTAACTTAGGGTTTAGGGTTTAAGGTTTAGGGTTTAGGGTTTAGGGTTTGGGGTTTAGTTTAGGGTTTAGGGACCTGTCGCATGCTTTCTTGATCATGTGGAGGCTGTTACTAAGATCAGGTACCACGCCTCAAAAATGAATCGACATATGGAGGGGCTAAAGTGGTGATCTTTTTTGGGGGTACTTAACTTTCTTACTGCAGAATTCTAAAGCGTAAAGGAGGGTTCTGAAAAAAAGGAGGAACCTTGCACAGCCTGATACTTAACCCTGAACCCTAGACCCTAACCCTAAACCCAAAACCCTAAACCCTAAACCCTAAACCGGCCAAAAGGAGCCCAAACACAGAACACCACCAACAGCTCTGCACTCGGAATCCCAAGCCCTAAACCCTAAACCCTAAACACTAAACCCTCAACCCTAAACCCTAAACCCTAAAGCCTAGCCCTGAACCTCAGTCCCTCCTCCAGGAGCAGCTGCCGCCGGGGCGCTTCGGCGAGGTGTCTCTTGGGTTGGGTCCTGGAGGAGTTGGTGTAGGGTTTAGGGTTTAGGGTTTAGTGTTTAGGTTTTAGGGTTTAGGGTTCAGGGTTTAGTGTTTAGCGTTTAGGGTAGGGCTTCAAGGGAATTGGAGCTGAGGATGTTGTGGGGACTCGGGCTGCAGGGCTTTCGGATGCTTCTGGGCGTCACCGCGCGGGCTTTCTGTGTGGGCACGTGAGGCTACCAAGCCCAACCGGAGAGTCTGTTTTTTTTAAATTTAAAATCGTTCCCTAAGCTACAGTTTAGGGCTTAACTAGGGCCCAGAGTAGGCCCTTACTTTTTTAGGGGTTTAGGTTCAGCTACAATCGCCTTTGAGCGAAGAGGGCCCTAGTAGATCAAATCCCACACTTGGCAGGAAGGAGGGGAGAGCCGGGCCTTCTCGAGGTGGCTCTTAAAGTGGTAAGGATTTAGGGTTTAGGGTTTAGGGTTTAGGGTTTAGGTTTTAGGGTTTAGGGTTTAGCCCATCCTGCAACCCTGTCCCTCGCCTTGGGGACTAGATGAGCCTTGAAAGGGTGTACGGCTCCAAATACCTGCATTATTCAGGTTCAGTGAATAGGGAGTCTGATAGCATAGGGCATTACGACCCCAGTTTTGGGGTTCATCTGGACCCCAAGGTCTGTAGAGCTTCAGGCCCTAAACCCGCTCTGTTTTCAGATCCTGAGCCCTACAAGCCCGAAACCCCTGCTGAATTCGCTACGTCTGATTTGGGATGTTCCCCCTTATGCTAGGAGTCCTCACCCTTTTTGTTGGTTCAAGGGTTCGCTTATACAGAAACCAACCCCAAAAGGGGTGCCCTTATCATATTATGGTCTCTGGGCTACCAAGAGGGATTATAGTGCCCTAACCCCTAAACCCTAAACCCTAAACCCCCTATTAGAAACCCTATAAAGGACTGTAAGCATGAGGGGGAGCATCCCAACATCTGAGACTCAATTGCCCGCTCCCCGTGCAGCAAGATAGGGCTTGAGTTTTGCAGGGCTACCACCCAACACCTACCTGTCTACTATTTGCTTAAGATCCCCAAAAGAATGCACAAAAACAATCCCTCTCTGGCCCTTAAGAATACGGAAGAATATGCTTTAGTTTTTTGGGGGTTCTGAAGCAACTCGCAGTTCTGTAGGGCATTCATGGGCAATTTTTTTCATATTTGGGTCCCGCCTTTGGGGTCCAGTACCATGGAGCCCCGAATTCCCTTTTTTACCCTATAATGAACCCGAGTTTTCTCTTTTTTTTTTTTGGGGGGGGGGGTAGGGTTCGCTTTGCAGTTCTTTGACGCGACCTGCGAATTCTTCGCCTTTGCGGGATGAACGCGGTGTCTTCTTAGCGTGGTCACTTGGTGTTTCTTTGGCCAGGGTGCCGAAGTGTGCAGGCAGAGGTTTCGGGATTAGGATTTAGAGGACCCTCAACCTCAAGAGCCCGAAGACTAGAAGTGCTTTCGGGATCGTCTCAACCTCCCCAAACCCTAAACCCTAAACCCTAAACCCTAAATCGTTTGAACCCGAGCGCGTGGGGGGGTGTGGAGGCACTGGCGGCCTTATCCGAAACAGGGGCTGACCTGCAGGCTCCGTCTGCGGGTAGTTCGGCCAGGGTCCCCTTGCAGGTCCCCGATATGATACGCCACCCTTAGAGTAATATACATATACATATACATATACATATACATATACATACATATATATATAGGTTTAAGGGTCTAGATTTTAGGGTTTAGGGTTTAGGACCCCGAAAAAACCCATCAACAAGGGGCCACACTACCCTGCCCGACTGCCCAACCCTACTCTCAGCATCTCTCCCCAAGCAACACTCCCCCCACCCAGCCCCCCCCCACTCCCCCCCTCTACTGCATTTACAGTTGAACAAGGAGAAGTTGTCGTTCATTTTGTTCTTATTTTTTTGGTTTTTGGGTGAGGGCGGTGAAGTAGGTGATCTTGTGCGTACTGGTGCTTGGGGAGGGGGAGCAGCTGTAGCATTTCATTGAAGTTCCGGCCTGTTCTGTTGGACAAGGCGTGTGGCGCATGCACTCGGAGCCCTAAACCCTGAACCCCAAACCCTAAACCCTAAACCCTAGACCAAAAGAAGCACCCCAAATCCGAAAGACCCGGAAGCCCCAAGAAACCCCCAATCCCCGACCTTACAAGAAAGTACCAATCGCCCTAAGCCTTCTTGCAACCTTCGGGATTTGGGGTGTAGGGTTTAGGGTTTAGGGTTTAGGGTTTAGGGTTTGGAGAAGCCAGCCGTGGGCCGGCTGGAATGGGAATTCTGGACCCGCTCGTGGCACTGGGCCCTGGGTTTGCGGGAGTTTTTGGGTTCAAAGGTTCAGGGTTACCCCAGTTCATTTGCCTGCTCTAGGGACTCTAGGGACTCTTCAAACCCCAGCACCCCCCAATTGCCCAATCACCCTCCCCTCCAGTTCGCCCCCCCACCCAAAAAAACAAGAAAAACTCAATCGGAATCCAAAAACCCCGACAGGCCGGGGAGCTAAGAAAGGAGCCCCTCCGGTTTTAGGGTTTAGGGTTTAGGGTTTAGGGCTCCCCCTGTCCAGGATATCTACGACACGCCGCGGGGACCGCTTTGTTGAGTGGCCCTGGGCTCCCAAACCCGTCCAGGGGCCCTGTACACGGGTGTCCCCCCTGATTCGAGCAGTCCTTAGTAGGGGTTACAGTACCACCCTAAACCCTAAACCCGAAACCCGAAACCCGAAACCCGAGACCCGAGACCCGAAACCCTAAACCCTAAACCCTAAACCCGAAACCCGAAACCCCCTATTTTTGACATTCCAACTAAGGACGTTTAGTATAAGGAGGAACATCCTAAGTTTCCATAACTGGGGTCCTATGCACTTTAGGTCTAGGGTGTCGGGTTCAGGGTTAAACCTGCAGTGCTCCCTTTTAAAGAAGGTCTCTACGTCGAGGGACCATAGCCAAATTATTTAAGTTTCAAACGCAGTCGTCAACCCCTACTTATACCCCAATTGTAGCTGCACTTGTAGTAGACATATAGTCAGGGTTATAAGTACAGATGAACCTCCAAGTAGAGGTAGCCCCCCAAAACCCTGAACCCTAAACACCTAAACCCTAAACCCTAAACCCTAAACCCTAAACCCTAAACCCTAAACCCCAAACCCTAAACCCTAAACCCCAAACCCTAAGCTACTCGAAACTTAAAACCCTGGCTTGGCTTGGACCCATCAAAGGCTTGCCGGCCGCTTGGCCCGAAACCTGCTGTGGTGGCGGCAGGACGACTGCCGATCGGAGGCGTGGCCTTTGGGTTTAGGGTTTATGGCTTGGGGTTTAGGGTTGAGGGTTTAGGTTTTAGGGTTTTGGGTTTAGGATTTAGGGTTTAGTGACTTAAGGAACCCCGATTTCGAACATTGTCTAGGCTGAGCGCATCATTTTGCACAAGCACGTCTGCCTACAGGAGCCCCTTTTTTTTCGCACTACTGGAGTCAAAAGCATCTTGTGAGCACCAAACGACATGAACCGTAAACCCCAAACCCTAAACCCTTGACCCTAGACCCTAAACCCTAAACCCTAACCCAACATTGGTGGCTCAATCTTTGCTCGAAACATTTGCCGAGTTGAATGTAGACGCCTGTGTTGTGGCGCTGGGAAACATGTTCCAGGTCCCTGCACCTATTCCTATCCTACAATGTGTCAAAATGCCATGAAGCGTGCCCCTTAAAAGGGCGGTATGTCCAAAACAAGAAATCCAGATCGGTACTTATAACCCTACTTATACTACCCCTAAAGGGCCTTATAGGGGTTATCCCAACTATAAGTAGGTTATAAGCCCAGTTATGAGTGGTTACTAAGTCCCATGAACCTTCAAGTACGCTTCCACAGTTCGCTCGCGCAGCTCCCGAGATCGAGCCTGGAGCCCCAAACCCGAAGCACAAGCAGATCTGGGCCCCAGCGCTCAGAACCCTAGGGTTTAGGGTTTAGGGTTTAGGGTTTAGGGTTTAGGGTTTAGGGTTTAGGGTTTAGGGTAAGCCCTATACAACCCAAACCCTAAATTGGAACGATGCAGAGAAGATCAGCATGGCCCCTGCGCAAGGATGACACGCACAGATCGAGAAGCATACCAAAACACCCCCCCCCCCCTCCCCGGCCCTGAACCGTATGTGAAGTAGGGGATATATGTCTTGTACCCCCAAAAGGACACCCAATGTATGCCCTCACCAATATGAAAACGGAAACTTATGTACACTCACCAATAACAGTAATATAAACCCTATACTTCACATACCCAAATGGTTTTCCGAGCCAGAGAGCCATTTGGCCCTAAACCCTAAACCCTAAACCCTAAACTTTGCCCTAAACCCTAAACCCTAAACCCTAAACCCTAAACCCTAAACCCTAAACCCTAAACCCTAACCCTAAACCCGAAACCCTTGGAGGACTTCGCCATGCTCTACGTGAACAGGCCGGGGCAGCCCTGGCGCTCGCGGTGTCCTTTGTGCTCCTCCTATCAAGGGATATAAGGAGGGACCCCGAGAAGGGACTTAATCTTGTTCCCCTATATAACCCCCATATATATATATATATGTATGTATATGTATATATATATATGTATATATATATATACTTTATGTAGTCCCTACATACCAAAGTAGCCCCTAAACAGCCCCTCAAGGAACCCCGAAGGTCCCCTATAAGGGTCCCTCCTTTAGTCCCTTGATGTTGGAAGCGAGTTCTGGGTAGGTCGTGCGGAGGAAAGAACCCTAGGCGAGTCGGGTTGGGTTTGGGTTTAGGGTTTAGGGTTTAGGGGTTAGGGTTTTGGGTTTTGGGTTTAGGGCTTAGGGTTTAGGGTTTAGGGACCCTAAACCCCAAACCCTAAACCCTGCAGAGCTCTCCAGGTGGCTCGGCGATCTACTCGGCACGCGCATGCAGCAGGGTCCCTTGGGTGCCTGCTTGCTGGGCTTGGGGCCGGGGAAGGGCGCCTCACGGTGAAGAACGCTTCGGGTTTAGGGTTTAGGGTTTAGGGTTTAGGGTTTAGGGTTTAGGGTTTACGGTTTAGGGTTTAGGGTTCAGGGTTTAGGGTTCAGGGCTTAGGGTTTAGGGTTTGGGGCTCTTCTTGGACCCCAGTGGTACCCCTTTTCCCGGTTTTTCGGCTTTAGGTTCTCTTCTAAAGTCGCCAACCCGCCAAAAAACTCACTATTGGCTAGCAGGGAATGAGGGAAGTCGCGCTCTACGCTGTCCCTTAATTTATAAAACCTCCAAGTACTAGGGGTCCTTGCGGGTTGTGCAGGGCCGACAGGGGGAGAGCGGTTGAGGGTTTTAAGCTTCGGGTCAGTAATTTCGGGGTTAGGTCGTAGGCTTGCGGCCTTCAAGTTCGGGGTTGAATAGGCTTTCGGCGCGCAGTCGCAGGAAAGGATGTTGACAATCAGTTGGTCCCTAAACCCTAAACCTTAAACCCTAAACCCTAAACCCTAAACCCTAAACCCTAAACCCTAAACCCTAAACCCTAAACCCGTCTCGTAACGAGGGAACATGCGGTGCCTTGAGCCAGTCCTCTTCCTGGTTATTGGCCGTGAACCCACAGAGCCCAACACCCCCTGCTTCAGGTATATACCTTAATTTATACAAGGATCCTTAATATGGCTTAAGGAATATACGTTAATTTTTACAAGGATCCTTAAAGGGCTATTCCTTAAAGGGGTACTGGGCTCCTTGGGAAACCGCATCGGGCAGTGGTGACTTCTCTAAATGATGGTCCTCTTTCTCGGGTCCATAGGATAAGGCGGCCCCTCTTATTTCGGGTACCCCAAAAATTCAGAGAGCTGACCCTGACCCTAAACCCTAAACCCTAAACCCTAAACCCTAAACCCTAAACCCTAAACCCTAAACCCTAAACCCTAAACCCTAAACCCTAAACCTAAACCCTAAACCCTAAACCCTAACAGACACTTTTTAGAAATCTCGTGTTGATTGTTTGTTTTTTGTTTCTTTCTATCTTTTTTCCCTCTTGCTCTCTACAGCACTTGAGGGTTCAATTCTGCTTTGGCGCCTGGGAGAGCTCACGCAAAGCCAGACCTTGTGGACGAAATGAACCCTAAAAGGGTTTATGGTTCATATACCTTAATTGGAATTTTAGTAGTATAGGGTATATAACTAAAAGGGTTGGTTCATATACCTTAATAGGCATTATAGTAGTATAGGGTATATGACCCAAACTTTAGGGTTCATTTGGTCCCCAAGGCAAGCTGCTTTTATAAACCCACAGCTCCAATCCCGTCGCAGTCCATGGATGTACCGAAGTTGACCCTCAGATCCGCGCAGGTCCCGCAGGAATGTGTGCGCACAAGGGCTTGGTGAATGTGGAGTTGCATGCAGCATTGGGGCTGTAGGATGTGTGCCCCCTAAACCCTAAATCCTAAACCCTAAACCCTAAACCTGTGCATGTGCCCCAAGCTTGGTATATCCGTGAAGACTGCAGGGCAGGCGGTCTTTGACGTTGCACTGGCGGGGCTGCTGCGCGACAAGCTCTGCGCAGAGTCTTCTCGGCCGCATCTGGTCAATTCCTTAAACCGCATTCCTGGCACACGGTCCCTGGTATTCCCACAAGGGGACACTGAAACATACACCGTGTAAAGCATGGAGAGTTGCTCAAATCGTAGACTGATCTGCAGGGCTCGTTCCGGCAATGAGTGTCCAAGCTTGGGAGATGTGCATTCAGATGTTCCCCCCTTATGCATTATAACCCCTATTACCGAACCCTAAATAGAAGAACATGCCAAGATGTGCACCTTGAAGCAGAAGTTTCTTGCTGCGGTTCATGCTCCTCCGGCCTGTGTACTGTCCTGCCCCTCTAAGCCAAAAAGGGCACCCTATTAGGGTTTAGGGTTTAGGGTTAAATTGTTATTCCTCAGGTTGCTCTTGGTTCTAGAGTATGAAATTCTCTTTAACCCATGCTTACATTCGGAGGCACGAACCATCATCGAAGCCCATTCCTTCTCCAACCCTCTGGACACCATAGCCAAGAGTCTGCACCCTAAACCCCAAACCCCAACCCCCAGCCCCTAACCCCAAACCCTAAACCCTAAACCCTAAACCCTAAACCCTAAACCCTAAACCCTAAACCCTAAACCCTAAACCCTAACCCCTAACCCCTAACCCCTAAACCCTAAACCCTAAACCCTAAACCCTAAACCCTAAACCCTAAACCCTAAACCCTAAACCCCAAGCCAAGTCGCAGCTGATCTCCTCCCCTCCCCCAGGCTGCCACATGCCATCCATTCACCCGAGGACCTGCCCAGGCCTCTCTCAGAGTTCTCCATTGCTTCTAGGGTGTAGGGTTTGGGGGTTTAGGGTTTAGGGTTAGGGTCCAGGGTTTAGGGTTTAGGGTTTAGGGCTACCAGACTTCAGGGTTCAGGGTTTAGGGCTACTAGACTTTAGGGATTTAGGGCTACTCGGCTTTTCTTGAAAGCTTGGTCGGCCCCTTAGGGATGTCTGAAGTATTTTCTTTCTTCGGGTTTGTAAGGGCCCCCTGGGTTTAGGGTTTAGGGTTTAGGGTTTAGGGTTTAGGGTTTCTGTTTCACATCTGTTTCACAGCAACAGCTGTGCACACTTTTTCAGTTGTAGCCACGCGTGCTCGGACTTGCTAGGACTTGAGAGTCTGCTACTTCCGGCCAGGACTTCATAGCCCGGATGCAAAAAAAGGTTTAGGGCTTAGGGTTTAGGGTTTAGGGCTTTTTTTTTCGACGGGGCTCTGAAAGGGGCTGTAGGTCGGTGGTACTTATGAACGTCCAGGGTGTAGGGCAAAGGGTAAAGGTAAAGGCTTAGGATTATGAGGATCATCTTTTTGTTTTTCGGGCTTGTCCAGTTAAGGCCCTAAACCCTAAACCCTAAACCCTAAACCCTAAACCCTCTTTTACCTCGCTTGGACCTTGTCTGTCCTGTCTTAAAGGCAACATGAACCATAAAGCCTTTTAGGGTTCATGTCGTCCACAAGGGATGGATTCCGCAGAAGCTGAGCCACAGTCTACAGAGCATCCCCCAGCCCTTGCACAATGCTAATCACATGGATGAGGGCTCTTATTTTTTTCAAGCAGGGTTTAGGGTTTAGGGTTTAGGGTTTAGGATTTAGGGCTACCCTCCTCAATCCCCCCCCTACAAGCACCCTAAACTCTGACAAGCCTCAGAGGGACATATGGTCATAGGTTCCCCTACTACCCCCCTGTATACTACCCCCCTCTCGGTTCCCCCCATAATGGAAGGCCATTTAGGGGATAATTAAGCTTACTTAAGGTTATTTGAGGGGGCAACCTAGGGGGGTAGTATAGAGGGGGGTAGTAGGGGAACCCATGATATGGGGGGATCTGATGTCCCCCGCCTCAGCCATGCTGACACCGCCCCTAGGAACCTGAGGAGCCCTGAAACCCTGCAGGGCGTGCGCGAAGGGTTTAGTTTTGGGGTTTAGGGTTTAGGGGTTTGGGGTTTAGGGTTTAGGGTTTAGGGTTTAGGGTTTAGGGTTTAGGGTTTAGGGCGAAACGCCCTGGTGGGCACCTGAGAGGCTCCTCCGGTGCATGGAGGTCATGCAGATCAAGCGCGCGCACCGGCCCACCCTGTGGCGGCTCGGCGGGGTTGGGTGATGAGATGTGGGGGTTTCCGAAATTATAGGGGTACTAGACCCTAAACCCTAAACCCTGAACCCTAAACCCTAAACCCTAAACCCTAGACCCTAGACCCTAGACCCTAGACCCTAGACCCTAGACCCTAGACCCTAGACCCTAAACCCTAAACCCTAAACCTTACCTTGATTGAGTCCTTTATTGTAAGGGAAATCCTCGTATTTGGGGTAGTTGGTGTCAGCCAATAGGCCAGCTCGACTGCGTGAACTCCCCAGCCTGTTTCCCGCAAGCTTAAGACTAAACCCGGCAAACCCTAAACCCTGTAAACCCCTAAACCCTAAGTGTACCGGATTTCCATGTGAACTATGATCCGGGCTTGGGTTCCGGGTTTCGGGTCCGTGGTCGGGGGCTTTTGTTTCAGGGCTCGTCTCGCCCATTGTCTCCTCCAAGCCTCTGCGGACTGGGATATCTCCCGGCCGTAGCAAAGGCTCTTTCTCCCACTGGGGTTTTTGCCTTGCTTGTATAGGGTTTAGGGTTTAGGGTTTAGGGTTTAGGGTTTAGGGTTTAGGGTTTAGGGCCGCTTCTAAGGCTTTTGGGGGGTTCTATATGTCTCCAGAGTGAAGCTCCCACGCAAGCTGGATGGCTTGAGCTGATGCTCATGTTGACAACAGGTATCATCATAAAGCCTCTCTAAAGAAGACTTGAAGACGAAAAGCCCCTGAATTCTGCGGTGAGGTGGTCAAGTTTCTTTTCTCTTGGGGGCTGCTCATGGTTCGGGTTTGTGGGGTTCAGGGTTGTTCGGGTTTCGGGTTTCTTCCCCTACACCCTAAACCCGAAACCCTAAACCCTAAACCGTAAACCTTAAACCCAATTCAAACACGCGAAGCCTTTCTTGTCAACCCGAGGCACGCCTTCTTGGCCGCGGTCTCCCGCAGCGTGGCGCCTGAGGCATGGGGGGCGGTTTAGGGTTTAGGGTTTAGGGTCTAGGGCTACGGTTTCATTACCCAGACAGCATAATCTTGGGCCCAAAAAAGCTGCTACATAAAAAAAGGCCCTTCAAGGCCCAAGTATATGCCTAAACCCTATAAACCCTAAAGATGGGTACATGGACCCTTTTGTGATTGTTGGCGGCAGGTTGCTATAGCAGCTGAGACACTCTTTGGCCCTGAAGGGTTCGAGGTGTCGGTGGAGCTTTGAGGCTTGCGGGCTGGGTTTATCCACTGCTGTCTGAGGGCACGATTTTCGGAGGCGGAGGGGGGGAGGGTATGCCATGAAAGTAGGGGAACCTACTCAGTTGCAGGGTTTGGCGGTTGCAGGTCTGTCTGGTGGTTCTATTCTTGCACTGAAATTCTGGGGGTCGTAGATGTATGTTGACAAACTTCGCTGCCCCTCGCAAGGGACTACAGCCGGGTCTCGGCAAACTCCTGGGCCTAAACCCTAAACCCTAAACCCTGAACCCTGAACCCTGAACCCTGAACCCTGAACCCTGAACCCTGAACCCTGAACCCTGAACCCTGAACCCTGAACCCTGAACCCTACATGGGCTCTTCAGCCCTTCTGTTCGTCCCTAGCCCTTCCTGACACAAGCGTGTGCGCCACCTTAAACCCGAAATTTGAAACCCTAAACCCTAAACCCTAAACCCTAAACCCCAAACCCCAAACCCTAAACCCTAAACCCTAAACCCTAAACCCTAAACCCTAAAACCCTAAACCCTAAACCCTAAACCCTAAACCCTAAACCCTAAAACCCTAAAACCCTAAAACCCTAAACCCTCATCCCCAAACCGCCGTAGGCCAAGCCCCTCTCCCCTCAACTCTGGCTGCCGCATCTTCTGGAGCTCCTGAGGCGACGCTTACCTGGGTTTAGGGTTTAGGGTTTAGGGTTTAGGGTTTAGGGTTTAGGGTTTAGGGTTTTAGGGTTTTAGGGTTTAGGGTTCAGGGGTCTCCTGGAGCAAAACAGGGTTTAGGGTTTCGGGTTTGGGGCAGACGGCAAGTCCAGCTTCAAAAAAGGGTTTAGGGCAAAGTTTAGGGCTTGGGCTTGGGGTGTGGATTTGTCCTTCTCTGCCGGGTGCCTTGGCGAAACCACTACCGAAGAGTTTAACTCGTCGAATTTTTATTGAGGGCGGATAAGGGGGTTGTCCACGGATCTCCACACTTAAGCACCCCAGCAGACCCCAGTTGCTGAAGCCCTGCAGAAGACTTTTTGGTGGAGTGCCAGGAATTTCGGCTTAGGACCTGGTCGGTTGGGCCTCTGGGTGCTCATCCGGCACGCTTAGGTGTTCCGCCATGTTCTAGGAAGCAGGCGCAGAAGTACCCTAAATCCTAAACCCATAAACCCTAAACTCTAAACGCACAGTTTGCTGCCGTAATTGGCGAAGACCAGTGCCCCGAACCTTAAACCCTAAACCCTCGACATGCCAAGGCTAGACGACGATTTGCTTAAGAATCCCCAAAAACAAAACTAGTATTTTGCTTAAGGACCCCCCCCCCAAAACACAGAGCGTTCTTCCTTATAAGGGGAATATAGGGGTCATTGTTTTTCATTCTTTTGGGGTTCTTAAGCAAATAGTAGAAACAAGCCCTCCTTGTAAGGTGAATATAGGGAGTATGATCTTTAGTTTTTGGGGGGCTCTTAAGCAGATGGTGGTAGAACCTGGGGCTTCTGAGCCGCTTCAAGTGAGGGCGAAAAAGCTATTGGTGAGTATATATAAGGTTCCTTGTTAATATTGGTGAGTGTATAGACTTGGTGTCCTTTTGGGGATACGAGAAACATATACCCTACGCCATATGGTGATCTCTCTAAATTGCGGTCCTTTTTGGGGTCCTTATTCTAAGGCGGCCGCTCTTGTTTTGGGTGCCCAAAAGGGACGATGATTGAGAGAACTGACCATTTGTGAGCAAAGCGCCTGCGACGGCCTTAGTAGCCCTAAACCCTAAACCCAAACCCTAAACCCTAAACCCTAAACCCTAAACCCTAACCCTAAACCCTAAACCCTAAAGCTATCGCAGGCGATCGCCCTTCTCCAAAAACAACACTGCCCTACTGGAGACTGCCGCAAGCATGGCAGGCCAGTACCATTTAGGGTTTAGGGTTTAGGGTTTAGGGTTTAGGGTTTAGGGGTCGAGCCGAGCGTTGAAGCACAGTGGATTCAGGGTTTTCAGGGCTCATAAGGGTTTAGGATTAGGGCTCAGGGTTTCAAAGAGTCTGAGGCTCAACTAGGGTTCATGGGTGTGTTTCTTGGGATAGGGTTTATAAGTTTAGAGGGTTCAGCCGGCCCAACACATCGGTGCAAGCGGTGCACCTGAGAGGTTCGCCCTCATGGGGATAGAGCCATCACCGCCTGTTCTTTTTTCATAATCTTGGTTGCCCATAACCCAGATCCCAAGACCATTTTCTCCACCCTAACCCCTAAACCCTAAACCCCTAAACCCCTAAACCCCTAAACCCCTAAACCCCTAAACCCCTAAACCCCTAAACCCCTAAACCCCTAAACCCCTAAACCCCTAAACCCCTAAACCCCAAACCCTACACCCCTAAACCCCTAAACCCTAAACCCTAAGCCCTAGACCCCATGTCAGGCCCCATCATCAAAGAGGCGCCCGGCCCGGCCCTTGCCAGGAGCCGCACCAGCCGATTTTTTTTGGGGAGGTTGCTTTCCAGGAAGGGTTTTAGTGCTGTAGGGCTGAGGGTTTAGGGTTTAAACCCTAAACCCTAAACCCTTAAACCTAAACCCTAAACCCTAAACCCTGGTGCACAGAGTTCGGTGAGGCATTTGTTGCAAGGCCCCCATGGCTCGTGAGGAGCCTTCAGAACCTTAGATGCCCAAACCCTAAAAACTAAACCCTGAACCCTAAACGTAAATTCAAAGGTTGCAGTGTTTGCACCCAAAATCAACAGGGGGTGCTTACCAGGATTTGCTGCGTCATGCCCTGTGTTCCTTAAAGCAGGCCCTTGATAGGGTTCAGGGTTTACGGTTTAGGGTCTAGGGTTTAGGATGTAGACTGTGGGGATGATAAGGCCGAATAGCCCCGCCTGGTCTTGGCAAGGATGCTTCAAGCGTTCGTGGCCTTGCGCCAGGAAGTCTTCACCCAGGCCAGGCCTTGAAAGTTGAGCAGGAAGCCCGGAGCTCTTTCTAGCAGAAGCATTTTTCTGTACTTAGGGTTTAGGGTTTAGGGTTTAGGGCTTAATTTGTGTCTTGCAATATAATCTACTCAGCAATGGAGTAGGTAACCTTTAACCGCTTTTGGGTATTCTAATCCCAATAGAATCCCAAAGGTTAACCTTGAATTCCGCCAGGTTAGTGGACAAGTAAGTATAGCAAACGAAACCTACAGCCCTGCACTAAACCAGCTAGCCTTAGGTTGCTTCGAGCTACAAGGCCCTCAGCCTTCATGACCCTAAACCCGCAAACCAAGGACCCTCAACCCATGGGCGGAAAGTTTAGGGTTCAGGGTGTAGGGTTTAGGGTTTAGTGTTTAGGGTTTAGTCATAGGTTTCCATAGCCATTCCGCTTCAGCTTTGGTGCTGCTTCATTTCTTGGTGCTGCTTCAACATGTGTGTGCCGTAGTGAAGCAGCACGCAAAAATGAAGCAGCACGGTCTTTGAAGCAGCAAGCACTGGTAAATGTACTAACCGCCGCTGCCTCTGTCACAACAGGCAGACGAACTTGTCTTGGCAAATCTACTTGCAAATTGCGTTCCGCTTCAGCATTGGTGCTGCTTCGTTTTTGGGTGCTGCTTCAGCATGCGCGTGCCGCGGTGAAGCAGCACGCGAAAATGAAGCAGCATGGTCCGTGAAGCAGCATGGCTACGGAGTCCTATGATTTAGGGAAGTTAGAGCCCTGGCTTCGGGATCAGTGACCCCCATCGCCCGAAGCCCATGTCGCCTCCGCTTGCTTCAGGCCGTCGTGGAACGCCATGGCGAGCTGCTGGAAGACCGCCACTTGGAATCCTGACCTCCCTCAACCCTGAACCCTAAACCCTCAACCCTGAACCCTGAACCCTAAACCCTAAACCCTGACCCTAAACCGCAAACCCTAGAGAGGGCTTGGGATTCACGTCTTGGTTGGGCTTCAGGGCTTCTTAGCCTTGGCTTGACCCTCGAGGCTCCGTCCCAAAAGGGCCCAAGAGGGCCACCCTACGAACCCTATACCCTGTACATCCGAAGCCCTCAGCCCTAGACCCTAAACCCTAAACCCTAAACCCTAAACCCTAAACCCTAAACCCTAAACCCTAAACCCTAAACCCTAAACCCTAAACCCTAAACCCTAAACCCTAAAAACCCTAAACCCTGCACATCCTAAGCCTTCTTGCCAGGGCTGCGGGAGCCCGAGACGCTTGGCAGCGCCCGGGTGGCCGTGCTTGGCGCTCTGGCCAACGGAGGCGCGCGCGACCCCTTTGTCTCGGGCTTGAAAAAGGGGGTTTAGAGTTTAGGGTTTAGGGTTTAGGGTTTAGGGAAATTGTACAGGGTTTGTGTTCGGGGTTTTGTGGGGTTTCGGGGGGGTTTTGGTGGGGTCTTGTTCTTTGCTTCTATTCAAGCCTCCAGCTGCCTTGTGGGACCTCCTGGGCCTTTTGGGTTGGTGCCTCTTGGGGTCTGCCTTGTGGGGCCTTCTGGGGCTGTTTGGGGGGGCTGTTTGGGGCCTGGGGCCGGGGCGGCGTTGGCAACCTTTTTGGGCATCTTTCGGACTTCTTACTTTCCTCCTTTAGGTTTCTTAGCGCCTGAGAGTCATGCTTTTTTGGTCTTCTTTTTTACACTGTGAAGGATGAAGGATTATTGCACGAGCTGCTCGTAATGAAATGCATACAATGTCTATTTATCCTGGCCTTGAGGGTTTAGGGTTTAGGGTTTAGGTTTCAGGGTTTAGGGGTACACGAAGTCTTGGGCTTCAAATAACATAGGGGTCGGAATGTTTACTAATCGTATTCCCTTCTGGTCCCTATACAAGTATACTCTAATAGCCCCCGAATTGCTAAGCCCCCTATAGTAGGCTTTGGATTTCTCCAGAGTTTGGGGTTTAGGGTTTAGGGTTTAGGATGGTTGAGGGTTTAGGGTGCAGGGTTTAGGGCTCAGGGTTTAGGATTGTTTAGCAAAAGGGTTTTGGGGTTTAGGGTTACCTGCAAACCTACACCCTAAACCGGAAGCCACCAGAGTTTCGCGATTGGTCATTGTGAACTTGACGCTTTGGGGTTTCAGCCCCGGCTAAAGGGCTGAGGGGGTTTAGGGTTTAGGGTAGTTTCCTCCGATCCTGAACTCCCCTAAGTCGGACCCCACCCGCCCCGAAGTGTCGCTTTGGAACCGACCCGGGTTCCGAATCGGGTTGTCGGATGAGGGTGGCGGGTGTGTTGGGTTTTTGGTAAGGCCCTAAACCACGCCAAACACGAAGCCCCTGAACCCTGAAACCTAAACCCTAAAACCCGAAACCCTCAAGGCCAGGATAAATAGAAATTGTATGCATTTCATTACGAGCAGCTCGTGCAATAGTCCTCCATCCTTCATGGTGTAAAAAAGAAGACCAAAAAAGCATGACTCTCAGGCGCTAAAAAACCTAAAGGAGGAAAGTAAGAAGTCCGAAAGATGCCCAAAAAGGTTACCAACGCCGCCCCGGCCCCAGGCCCCAAACAGCCCCCCCAACCAGCCCCAGAAGGCCCCACAAAGGCAGGCACCAACCCAAAAGGCACCAGGAGGCTTGAATAGGCGCCCCAAAAGACACCAGGCTACCCCAAAAAGCCCCAGGTGGCTCGCTCCCACGATGCCCCCCAAAAGCAAAAAAAAAAACCCGACAAAACCCCCCGAACCCCCCCCCCCGAAACCCCACAAAACCCCGAACACATATAAACCGCAAACAGCACTCCACCAAAGGTGGCACCGGTGTCCAGGCATCGTGGTGGCGCGACGGGATACTAAGGCACCAAGGCTTCATTGTACAGCGTTGAAGTTGGGGCGCAAAAAAAGTTTCGTGTTCAGGGTTTAGGGTTTAGGGCTTGTTTGGAGAGCTTCGGGGCTTGGAATTTCTAGGGGTTCGTTTCCGGTCTCGTGTTCCAGATGGTTCGAGCGAGGATTGAACGATTGTGTGTCTCATAGGGTAGTTACATGGTCCCTTTGTATGGGCCTTTAAAAACTCCTTCAGTTTCCCCCTTATTAATACCCTATAAAACCCAAGGGCCCATACTTCAGAACCATGTAACGGAGGTGAGGGACCACATGGGACGCGCCCATATAACTACCCGTATGTCTAGACTCAAAAACAACCCACGCCAAAGTTCGAATATGCAGTTCCTCTTGGGGCAGGTCTTAGGCCGAGTAGTAGAGTAGGGAACCTTTAACCTTTTTGGGGTAATATAATCCCCTCATAATCCCAAGGTGAACCTTTAGTTCCCCCAGGTTACAGGACAACTATGGGTTTAGGGGTTGCAGTATACTCCCCGAGACAGGTACTACGCAGGAGCCCTTTCGGCAACCCTTTGAGCTGGACATCGATTGCATGCCCTAAACCCTGCATCCTTTAGGGTCTTCAATCACCCTAAACCCTAAACCCTAAACCCTAAACCCTAAACCCTTAAGCCTAAACCCTAAACCCTAAACCCTAAACCCTAAACCCTAAACCCTAAACCCTAAACCCTAAACCCTAACCCTAAACCCTAAACCCTAAACCCGGGTGGCAAAAAAAAAAAAAAAAAAAAAAAAACGCTAAACCCTAAACCCTGGAAGGGGTGCAGGCGGTGGGGGGCTTAGGTCTCGGTTTTAGGGTTTGAGCAGGTTTTAGGCTAGATCTGCCATGGTTTGGGCTCAGTTTTCAGGTTTAGATGCCCTAAGAACCCGAAACCCTAAACCCTAACCGCTAACCCTAAACCAAACCTACCAAGACCCTGGGCTGGGGAGCTCCGGCGCCTCGTCGCCACGCTGCGCCGCGGGCCAAGTCGCCTGGGTCGAGGCACTGGGAGGTTTAGGGTTCTGGGTCTAGGGTTCAGGGTTCAGGGTTTAAGGGTTCAGGGCTTAGGGTTTAAGGGTTCAGGGTTCGTCGTTTTCTGGGCCTGCACTTCAATCGCATTTTTTTTTGTGTGTGTGTGTGTGTGTGTGTGTTTTCTGTGGGGCCTCTCAGAAGCCCTTTTGTTGTTACGTGTTTTGGGTACTTTTGCCGGGAGCCTTTTGGAGCTGGAGCGGCCTTTTGTTGCAGCCATGTGGTGCGTTTGGCCGAGCGAGCGAGAGAGAGAGAGAGAGAGAGAGAGAGAAAGAGAGACAGAGAGAGAGAGAGAGAATTGAAAGAGAGATACAGAAAAAGAGGTACTATCCCAACCATGAACTATTCAAATGGAGCGGGCGAACATGAGCTCGTACACAAAATCATCGTGGCACACTCGCAGCCTCTAAGCCTTTGTGCCTTTTTCCAGGGCTGCGGCTTAGGGTTTAGGGTCTAAGGATTAAGGGTTTAGGCTTTAGGGTTTAGGGACTGTTTACGGTTTTGGACTTTGCTTTCGCGGTTCTTATCCGTCCACCCGAAATGTGGCATCATATGCCCCATCCGGCTACAATCCTCAAGGGCGTTTTTGCTTGAGGATGGAGGATCAAGGGCTTTTGTTTTGCGAATTGAGGATCGTAAAGCCCTGAACCCTAAACCCTAAACCCTAAACCCTAAATCTCAAACCCCAAACCCCCCAAACCCCAAACCCCAAACCCGAACCCCCGAACCCCGTAAACCCTAACCCCCCAAACCCCAAACCCTAAACCTTAAACCCATGACTTTGTCATAGTTGGGTAACAATTACATTTTTAAGGGTACTTAAACCCAATAAGGAATATACATTTGAATTTTTAATGCTATCCCAACCATGAACCAGATGAGCCTTCGCTTCTGGCCTTGGCAGGCATGTACGAGTCTGAGCTCATACAGCTGCAGGCACCGTTTCAGCTCCGGAGGGTTTTGAGATTCAGGGAAAAGCCCTGAAGCCCTAAAATCCTAAACCCTAAGCCCTATACACCTTAAAGCCTAAATCCTAAGCCCGACCTAAAGCCCTAGCTTAAACCCTACAGAATCTCATAGGCCTAACCCTATATAATCCTAAGCCCTAAGCCCTGCTTAAACTCTGTATAATCTCATAAGCCCAACCCTTCACAGATGCCTTGAGTTGGGTTTTGAAGCTTTGTGGTGCTTTACTGTAACTTTACATCTTTAGCCTTTTTGGGTTTTATTGGGTTTCTTAAGAAGGCAGCAAAAAGTTAAATTTATAGCTACCCTGCTAAGAGCACCCTAAACCCTAAACCCTAAACCCTAAACCCTAAACCCTAATGTAACTACCCCAAGATTCAGAAGGTGCTTGACATGCATGCCCCCTCGCCCCTTCGCTGAAGCATTGCGGCGTCGGGATCTCTGAGAGAGTTGGGTCGGTGTTAATCCTTTTGGGTTTAGGGTTTAGGGTTTAGGGTTTAGGGTTTAGGGTTTAGGGTGGAGGTCGCAGCCGCCCTAACTTGCGGGCAGTTCTTTTTTGGGGGTATAAAGCTGCTGGAATCGTCGGCGCAGCATCCCGACAGACAAGAGAAGGAACTACACAATTGGGGCAACAGGGAAAGTCTTCAGCCCTAAACCCTACCCCCTTAACCCCAATCCCCCCAATGCCCTAATCCCTAAACCCTAAACCCCAATCCCCCCCAACGCCCTAAGCCATACCGCAGTTGAGCGATGTCGGCGCAAGATGGCAGCCAGGCGTCGCTCGGCCCTGCAGGATTGCTTGCGCTTGTGCGGGGTTTAGGGTTCAGGGTTTAGGGTTTATGGCCCAGGGTTTGGGTTTAGGGCGTTCAGGGCCCCCCTGCAGTCATAGGCAGGCTCTCTTGGACCTCAATGGCTGCTGTCTGCATTGTAGGAACAAACACCTCCCCCTATCCCGTAGCTCTGTACCCCAGCTACCCTCATTCTTCTCTTGATCTCCCTTTGTGATAGTCTTATAAGCCCCACTAAACAAAGAAGGCTTCGCTCAGAGTTCTCGCTGGAGTAATTCGGACTTCCAGGACGCTCGACTGCATAATCCCACTCCCGGAACCCTAGCCCATCATGAACTCCCCAGAAGCACTCATGTATCTCATCAACTTTCGGAAGACACGCAAACGCCTGCCCTAAACCCTCAACCCCAAGCCCCAAGCCCCAAACCCTAAACCCTAAACCCGAAACCCGAAACCCTAAACCCTAAACCCTAAACCCTAAACTCAGAAGAAGGGGGGAGGGGATTCAACAAAAGCCCAAGGTTCTTGAAGCTTTGGGCATCGCCGCCCCGCCCCGCGACTTCATCCTCCGCGCTGCCCGAGCGGTGTTAAGGAGCTTGGGGGGAAGACCACTGGGGTTTAGGGTTTAGGGCTAGGGTTTAGGGTTAGGGTTTAGGGTTAGGGGTTTAGGGCTGGGGTTTAGGGTTTAGGTTTAGGGTTTTAGGGTTTAGGGTTTCAGGGTTTACGGTTTAGGATCCCAAACTAAATTTGGACCTCCCTAGGGCTTCGGAACAATGGGGTTGTTCAGGGGCAAGGGGGGGGTTCACAGGGAAAGTTACAACTAGGACCGGGAGTAGGCCCTTTTTCTTTTTTTTCGGGTTGGGGTTCCCTTTTAATCCCCTTAAAACCAAACAGGGCACCCTTTTTATTCCTGGGTTACTCCCGGGTCTAGACAAACGATCTCTGGCTTGACCTACAGCCTCTGGGCCTCTTTGTCGGTTCATGGGTACTTATCACCCCAATTTCATTTCTGTACTCACACGCCGCCTACGCCCTCTAAGTAGCTCAGGAATAGAGTAGGTTCCTTTAACCAAAGGTTAACCTTTAATTCCCCCAGGTTATTGGACAACTAAGGTAGGTTATGAGTAGACATATCATTAGGGCGACAAGTGCCCATGAACCTCCAAGTAGCCTTGTTGCCCGACCCCGGTTCCACGCGGACCGAATTTTTTGGCCAGTTCAAGGGCCTAGAAGGCCCTCAGCATACCTAAACCCTAAACCCTAAACCCTAGAACCCTGTACCCTAAACACTAAAACCTGTACCCTAAACCCTAAACCCTAACCCCTAAACCCTAAACCCTAAACCCGAAACCCTAAACCCTAAACCCTGGCCCTAAACCCTAAATCCCAAGCCGCCGGCTCTCCTACCCACATCTCCTGCAATCTCTCCTGTGCCGCAGGCAGAGACGGAAGACCGATGCCTCCAGCCCGCCTTTCGGCAGTTTAGGGTTTAGGGTTTAGGGTTTAGGGTTTATTTAGGGTTTAGGGTTTAGGCGCTTAGGGGTTTAGGGTTTAGGGTTTAGGGTTTAGGGTTTAGAGGTTTAGAGGTTTAGAGGTTTAGAGGTTTAGAGGTTTAGAGGTTTAGAGGTTTAGAGGTTTAGAGGTTTAGAGGTTTAGAGGTTTAGAGGTTTAGAGGTTTAGAGGTTTAGAGGTTTAGGTTGTGGGGTGCAGGGTTTTAGGGTGGTAGGGTTTGGGGCGTCGGGTTTGGTTTAGGGTGCGGGCAAGTCAGAGTCGACTAGTGTAACACACTCGCCCAAAAGGATGGCCTTAACCAGGGTTTAGGGTTTAGGGTTTAGGGTTTAGGGTTTAGGGTTTAGGGTTTAGGGTTTAGGGTTTAGGGTTTAGGGTTTAGGGACCTGTCAAAAAACACCCTAAACTCTAAACCCTAAACGCTAAACCTTGTATGTATTTTACATGTATAAAGCAAACCCATCAGCCTGAAACACTCAGCAAAAGCACCCTAAGTTCAGAAACGCAACCTAAGCCCTGACATAAGAAACCTGATAGCCCCTAAATCCTTAAAACGCAACACCTTGAACCAAGAACCCAGAAAAGGAACCCTGAGCCCTAAACCTGGAAAGGAACACCCGAAACCCTAAACCCTTAAAAGCAGCACCCTAAACCCTAAACCCTAGAACGCTCTGAACCCTCAACCCTTAAAACAAACAATGCCCTAAACCCTAAACTTTTAAAACAACACCCTAAACCCTTAAGAGCAGCACCCTCAACCCTGAACAAAAAACACCAAACCCTAAACCCTTCAAACGACACCTTAAACCGTAAGCCCTCAAAAACAATAGCCTTGAAGCCCTATACCCTAAACCCTAAACCCTAAACCCTAAACCCCCCCCTTCAGGTGGGCACTCCGCGCTCTTGGCTTCCTGTCCTTCCGCCTCTCCTCAACCACCGCCGCGGCCACGGAAGGCGGACGCCGTAGAGTTTCTCAAGGGGCTTTGGGGGGGTGGGGGGGGGGGGTTTAGGGTTTAGGGTTTAGGGTTTAGGGTTTAGGGTTTAGGGTTTAGGGTTTAGGGTTTAGGGTTTAGGGTTTAGGGCTTCAAGGCTATTGTTTTTGAGGGCTCAGGGTTTAGGGATCAGGTTGTAGGACTTGAGGGGAGCCTCCGCAGTCCTGGGCTAACAAAGAGCGTTTGGTGAGTGAGTGGTTCCTTGAAAGCAATAAGGGATAAAAGTTCCCCCAGTTACGAAAGCTATACCTAAGCAGCGGGACCCGTATTTTTCAAAAAGCAACCCCTCGAAGGGTTTTCGAGTTGAGGGTTTAGGGTTACTAAGTTACATAAACAGGGACCTCAAACCATACAGACAAAGACCCTTGTAAGGGAATTCTCGTTGCTGCAGATGGCACGCTGATTTTCACGGCCGCTCGGGAGATGCAGGCAGATGGTGATGCCACTTGGCCCTGCTCTCTTGTGGGACTCTACCTGGGACCCCTAAGGTTGCACTTCTCAGGATCCTCTAAGGGAATATAAGGGCCATATTCGGGTTTAGGGTTTAGGGTTTAGGGTATATGTGGGGAGCCTCTTTGGGGGATATCCTTCGTATGACTCCCGTGAGCTGTCTTGTGGGATGATAGGGCGGCTGTTCCATGCTTGCCTGCTGCTTTAGGGTTTAGGGTTGCGGGTTTGTGCTTGCTGTAGTTGTTGCTTGAATACTGCCTGTCAGTTCCTGGAACCCTAAACCCGAAACCCCAAACCCTAAAAACAAAAAAAGCGCAGGACATGATAGGCCTGTTGATAGAGGATATGCTTGGTGGTTTGGGGTTTCGGGCCCCAGACTTATAACCCCTAAACCCTAAACCCTAAACCCTAAACCCTAAACCCTAAACCCTAAACCCTAAACGGGCCAGATGTACGGGAAGCTGTGGGAGCTTCAGCGGTTTATAAGCACAGGTCGAGCTGCTCTCCGTCGACGTCGGGTTCCTGGAGCCTTGTCGTTACGCCCTATGGGTTTAGGGTTTAGGGTTTAGGGTTTAGGGTTTAGGGTTTAGGGTTTAGGGTTTAGGGTTTAGGGTCGCTTGGAAACTCCCTGGAAGTCTGGAGCCACCAAAGCGGTGCAGGGTTTAGGGTTTTGGGTTTAAGGGTTTAGCGCTGACATGCAGAGCCTAGGTTCCAAGAAAGGGTTTAACGTTTCAAGGGTTTCAGGGTGTCATGGTTTAACGGTTTATAGGTTTTAGGAATCCTCATTCGAGTCCCTTGTGAGAAAGGGTTTGAGGATCGTGAGTATATAATGGAAAGGACCCTAAACCCTAAACCCTAAACCCTAAACCCTAAACCCTAAACCCTAAACCCTAAACCCTAAACCCTAAACCCTAAACCCTAAACCCTAAACCCTAAACCCTAAACCCTAAACCCTAAACCCTAAACCCTAAACCCTAAACCCTAAACCCTAAACCCTAAACCCTAAACCCTAAACCCTAAACCCTAAACCCTAAACCCTAAACCGTCCCGACATCCAAGGACCGGCGATACCGCCGCCATGGCGACGTGGAGCGCGTGGCGCTGCTGCGAACTCTCGCGGCGCTCCCGGATCGTGGGAGGCAGAGTTTGGACCTTTGGGGGTTTAGGGTTTAGGGTTTAGGGTTTAGGGTTTAGGGTTTAGGGTTTAGGGTTTAGGGTTTAGGGTTTAGGGTTTAGGTTGAGGACCCTCAAGAGTTCCCCCCTTTTGTTGGTGGGTGCCATTGGGGGCTTAGGGTTTAGGGGTTTAGGCTTTGGGCTTTCCTCGGGGTAGCGGTGTGACAGCTGGAGGCCTGGTGTTGTAAGGTCTGAGAGTTTAGCTAGGAGGTCCACGTACATATAATCCCAAGTATAACTGTACTTCTAAGCCCCCTAAGTCCTCTAAGTAGGTTATACCTGAAGGCTCCAATGTCGTTCCTTTTTGGGTTATCTATAGGGGATTCTTGTATACTACCCCAAAAAAGTACTACATAGGAGCCTTTGGGTAAGTAGACGTATAGCTGGCCTCCCAGTGCCTTTGTTGACAGGCAAGTGACTGGCGTCGTGGACTTGTACGTGGACCGCGCCGTTTGCCTGTCCTGCCTGGGTCATGGCCCTAGCTTTGCTGGTGGTAGGGTTTAGGGTTTAGGGTTTTGGGTTTTGGGCTTAGGGCTTTGGGCTTAGGGCTTAGAGTTTGGGGTTTAGGGTTTTGGAACTTAGTCGGAGGTTCATGGGTACTTGTAATAGCGATGATAGCTGCACTTGTAGCCTACTCGGAGGGACGTAGGGGAACTTAGGAGTGCAGTCATAAGTTGAGGTTAGAAGTAGCCCTGGGCCTCCGAGTAGGGTTGGGGCGGCTCATGGCTCCTGGGGGCTCAGGGTCAAGGGTTGAGGGTTTAGGGTTTAGGGTTTAGGGTTTAGGGTTTAGGGATGGGGTTTAGGGTTTGGGCTTAGGAATGTGAGTTCCCAAAGCGGCTGCTAAGCTTGAGGAAAGCAAACAGCCAAATGGCTGGGAGACCCTACATATGAGCTTTGGCCCTAAACCCTGAACCCTTAACTCTGAACCCTGAACCCTAAACCCTTGACCCTAAACCCTAAACCCTAAACCCTAAACCCTAAACCCTAAACCCTAAACCCTAAACCCTAAACCCTGAAGCGGCCCTCATGCTGGGAGGCGTTCTTCGCCAGTTTCGTGAGCTTCTGCCGCAAGCACAGGCCGACGCAAGCGACCCTCAAGCCCGCGGCGTTCTGATTCTTACAAGCTGATGTGTATCCCAGCAGTGGAACCGAAGCCCTATACCCTAAACCCTAAATTTCAGGCCTAGCGGCACGGGCCGGCCCCCGCCCCCCAAAGCACGAAACCTTGAACCTTGGCACTGTCTTCTCTTTCCCGTGTCTTTGTCCTCTCCTTCTCTCTGTCTCTCTTTCTCCTGCCTTCGCCCCTCCCTCCCCCCCCTCCCCCCCCCCGCGCGCGCGCGCGCGCGCACCCGCATCAGGAGCATCAGTGGGGTTGGTTTGGGGGCCTTAAAAGCATTCTATGCATGCGTTTTGCCTTCGAAAAACCTTCAGAAAACGCTGTAAACACGTGTTTTTGGGCTTGGGAAGCCTTTTGGGACCCAGGAAAGGGAGCATCATGAGCATCAGCGGCCTCCCCCAGGCCATCCAAAACCCCCTTAAACACGCCGATTGTATGTGCTTGAACGCTTGCGTGCCCACGAAACCCCCAAAAGCAAGACCCCGAATGCCCTTAAGGGCATTCGGGGTCCTGCTGTTCGGGTGTTTTGTAGGCACGAAGCCGTTCGAGCGCGTAAAATGAGCGATTTTAGGGGCGTTTTTACGTGGACCCACAAAACACTCGGTATTTACGAGGTTTTCTGCTGTTGGAACACCCCCCCAAACCGAGCATCATGAGCATCAGCTGGGTCTCTGGGCCGTGGGCCCGGACCCCCCCACGAAGCCCAAGAGAAGCGATGGCTCGATGATGCGCCCGGACCCCGCGCATCAGCAGCATCAGCAGACCCCCCCCCGGACGTGGGTTTCGATGATGCGCACTTTGGGGGCGGGTCAAGGGCAACAGGGGTGGGGGTCGGAGGCACGCGTGAAAAACCTCATAAAAACACGGTATTTGCGGTGATTTCAGCGTTTTTCAGCGTTTTTTATTGCCTTGGGCCCGCGGGCCAGGGCTGCTGATGCTCATGATGCTCGCCTGGTTTTGGGCTTCCGGTGCCCCCCCCAAACCTTGAAAAACGTGGTTTCGGCCTGGCGCGCGCCCCATGTGAAAAGCTAGGGCCGATGATGCGCGCCCGTGAGGGTTTAAGGGTGCTGCGGGTGTTTTGTGGCCTCGGTTTTTCGTAAAAAACCATGGTTTTTACGTGGTTTTCGTGCTTTTCGCACCACCGCGTGTTGCGTCCCCTTGGATGCCCTTTTGGAGGCCTCCCGAAGGGCCCCGCGCGAATTTGAAGCAGTTTTGGGCGGGGTCGGCGGCTCGGGCGCTCGCCCCTTTAAAGCTAGCGCTTTAGTGCGACGGGCGGCGCGGGGGCCGGATTTAAGAGCCTCCGGCTCAAGCCGCCGACCGCGCAGGAGAACAAGTTTAAGGTTTGGGGTTTGGTGATTTTGTTTGCGGTTGGGGGTGTGGGGGTGGGGGGGGGGGGGGGGGGTGGGGGGGTGGGGGGGGGGGGGGGTGGGGGGGTGAGGGGTTGGGGGGGGGGGGGGGGGGGGGGGGGTTGGGGGGGGGGGGGGGGAGCTGACGATGTACCCCCCCCCCCCCCCGGCCCCCCCCCGCTTTTTGGGGGGGTAAGGAGGGAAAGAGGGAGGTTTTCACCTTGTTTTCCCATCCAATTCCCATCCAACACGCCGCCAGGGTCGGCGGACCCAAGCCCGAAGCCCTGACCCTAAACCCCAAACCCTAAACCCTAAACCCTTGTGCTGGGTTAGTGGTAGGGCTTGTTTGGGTGCTGCGGCTACGCTTGGTGATGGTTGGTTCAAGTTCAACTCCTGGGAGCGCAAGTCCTTGGTGCCGATTCGTTGGCAAAGCTTCCAAAAAAAACCCTAAACCCTAAACCCTAAACCCTAAACCCTAAACCCTAAACCCTAAACCCTAAACCCTAAACCCTAAACCCTAAACCCTAAACCCTAAACCCTAAACCCTAAACCCTAAACCCTAACCACTAAACCCTAAACCCTAAACCCTAAACCCTAAACCCTAAACCCTAAACCCTAAACCCTAAACCCTAAACCCTAAACCCTAAACCCTAAACCCTAAACCCTAAACCCTAAACCCTAAACCCCAACCACTAACCCAGCACAAGCACATAAACCCTAAACCCTAAACCCTAAACCCTAAACCCTAAACCCTAAACCCTAAACGGGGTGAAGACTCGTACCCCTAAACTTGTACCCCTAAAGATTCCCCTCAATATACTCCCAGTATGGCCCTTATATTCCCTTAGGGATCAATAGAAGGGACCCCTAGAGAGTTGATATATGGGGGTTTACGATATTGGGGGTACCTTATTGGGGTGCTATGGCGCCGTGACGTTTCCCACAGGTGTTAGCTCATGTCTCCGTGCAAAGACCCAACATGAATCCTCGTGAAGCTCCGAGTTGTGCGAATATGCTTACTTGGAGGTTCATGGGTACCTACTAGTAGGGTTTGAAGCAACCCTTAAAGAAGGTTATAAGCAAAGTAAGTCACCGTACTTATAACCCTACTTGCACCTACCCATGAACCTCCAAGTCTAGGTCATGGAACCGAAGCCAAGACAAGACCTAAATACTACGTACTTGCTCAAGAACTCCCCCCCCCCCCCACCCCCCAATAAAAAAACACCCTAAACTGCAGATGCGTCAAGTTGATTCACAAGAAGGCCATGTAAAGAACAAGGTCCGATTGCCCGCCGCTGTACACACCCAAGGGTTGGGCTACGTAAGGACCTTGAGCCAGTGTGAGGAAAACATGTATTTCAAAACAATGGCATGGAGCCATTCAAAGCAGCACATTGTATAGGTTGTGCAGATATGTTACTCGCCTAGAAGGCCAAGTGGAGTGAAAAATCGATACGCCATGGAAGCCTCAGATGCTGACTTTGCACAAGCCCTGAGTTCCGAGTTTGGTCCCAATGCCCAGCAGGGTATGAGCCCAAATACCGCTAGCGCACGTGAAGAACCGCGATTGGGCGAGGTTGGGAGCCATGAACTACCAGGGCCTGGTGAGACATCGTTGGCAATGAGGGCTATGATGGTGTCTTCCCCGGCGAGCCAGACGGGATGGTCCATGGATGGGCAGCGAGGTGAGCTGGTCGGGATGGCGACAGCAGCACCGAGCGGACGCCAAGTGGAACATGATGCCCGAACTCTGGTTATGGGTGGGGTCACAACGACCGACGCGAACATGTCGGAAGCTGCTGCATGGAGCCTGGAAGCCTTCGGAAGCAGAAGGAACATTCCAGCATGGATGCAGCGTATTGGGACGTTCTTTCAGGAGATGAGATCCCAGCACCAGACAGGCCCTCTGTGGGCCCCTTCTCCGTTTCCTTCGCCGACGCCATCGAGGACAAGGCAGAGGGCTCTGGCAAGGCCGACTCCGGAAGATTCTCCGGGGGACTCGTTGTTCTCGCAGGAACAGTGGAGGCAGATGCAGGAAATGGAGGGAAGAGCGCCGCTTCTCTATGGGAGCGCTCAGGGAGCTCGAGGCCCTCAGTCAGGGGATGGAAGCTCCGGGGACAGCACCAAGGAGGCGGTGGAGATGGAGGTGAAGCGGCAGATGCAGGGGATCCTGGGGCAGTTGGAAGCAAGCAGGCATGAAGCGAGTCGTCTGCGGATGGAGGTGGAGAGATTGAGGGCGACATCGGGTGTTGCACCTACTTCACTACCTATGTCGCAGGTGTCGGGCGCTGCACCTACTTCACTGCCTATGTCGCAGGTGTCGGGCGCTGCACCTACTTCACTGCCTCTGCCACAGGAGTCGGGCGCTGCACCTATGTCACTGCCTATGTCACAGGAGTCGGGCGCTGCACTTACCTCTCTGCCTATGATGCGGGTGTCGGGCGTTGCACCTACGTCATTGCCTATGTCACAGGTATCGGGCGTCGCACCTACGTCATGGCCTATGTCACAGGTGTCGGGCACTGCATCTACATTGCCGAATATGACTCAGGTGTCAACTGCTCCTGTGGTGCCCTTGTCTAGACCTTCAGCTTCTGGTGAGGTCGGTGGAAGAGCAAAGAGCCCTTTCGCCCCGGATGTGAGACCGCCTCCGCTACCAGCAGCTCTGAAGCGGGTGGAGTTCGAGGGTGTTCCGAGCAGTCCAATGGGAGAGCCAGATGGAGGCCGAGGAGGTACAATGGCCGCTGGAAAGGGGGTTACGCTGCAGGGGTCGATCGGAGCACATGGTGGTCCTGTGGCAGAAGGCGGTGAAGGTCCTGGCGGGGAGGCGTCACGAGCCTCCAGTGCGGGAGTGGGGCCGCATCCAAGGAGTGAGGCTACAACAGACACAGTCACGAAGCTCTTGGAAGGTCTTGAGAAGGTGATCTCCGGGAAGACAGCCAAGAATCAAGAAGAAGTGGGCCGAGTGTCGGTGGAGATGCCGAAGCTTCCGGAGATGAGTGACGCGGCCTCAGTGGACTTCGGGGACTGGCTTCATTGCTTGGAGAATGTCATGGGGGATATCAGTGCAGGATCTGCTGAATGGTGGGGATTGGTCCGGGAGGCAGCGCAAGCTTACTATGACCAGTACCAGGCGGCGGACCAGTTTGTGAGGATCTCGTTGAAGCCGACCGCGCCGAAGGAGCTCTCGGACAACAGGTGGGTTCGTGTTGACAGGAGAGGAGTCAGCATGATTCTGGGAGCTGTCCCGGAGGAGATCAGGCGGGAACTGGTGGCGACGAGGGCGAGATCGACATTGGAGGTGTTGTGCCGGCTCATGGTGTTGTACCGCCCGGGATCAGCGACGGAGAAGTCTCAGTTGCTGAAAAGGTTGGAAGAACCAGGGGGAGCCACGTCACCTCAAGAGGCGGTGGAAATGCTTCGTCTATGGCACCGGGTGTATCAGAGGGCGAAGGACTTAGCGTTGATCACGCCGGATCCGTCGATTCTCTTGAAGGCGCTCGACGGCTTGGTTCGCAAACCTCTCCAGGAGAACGCGGAAGTGACCTTTCGGATGCAGCTGCTGAGATACCACCTCAAGGTAGACATCACCCCCTCGGTAGATGGCGTGCTTGCGATTCACCGGGCGTACTTGGCCGAGTTTGAGCAGTTGGCGATGCGGAAGGGGCCAAGGAAGGGCGGTGGAGCCGGGGGTGACGCAGGCAGTAATGGACCGGCGACCCCGAAGATGAGAGCCATCGGTGGGAAGAATGATCAGCCGGGAGCTCAACGTGATGGTTCCCAAGGAGGAGGTCAGTTGAAGCCCTGCAGGTTTTTTCTCACGGATGAAGGGTGTCGACGTGGCAAGGCATGCAAATTCGAGCACGCTATGGACAAGGACAAGAGAGAGAGGTGCTGGACATGTGGGAGTAAGCAGCACACCTCAAAAACGTGTCCCACCAAGGTGAAGAACGAGCAGCAAGGACCTTCGCCATCCACGCCGAAGAGTGGAAGTGGCTCGCCGAAAAAACCAGAAGGGCCACCGGAGACGCCCTCGATCCAGAAGGTGGTGGAGGCGGAAGTGTCGTCTTCGGCATCTACATCTGTGCCTGCGTCAAGTTCGGGGAGCACAACAATGGAAGACCCAGTTCAGGGCGTGCCAGTGGAGCAACTTCTGGAGAGCGCTCACCGTATGATGAAGGCATTCATTGAGGGCCAGCAGAAGGCACCAACATTGAAGGTCTTGCGATGCCCCGAAAGAGATCTAGATGATCTTCCACCTCTGAAGAAGAGCGTTGACTGGGAAGCAGCCATGAAGAACGTGGGCTTGAAGAAGACCTTCAATGAGGAAGAAAGAATGGGGCTGCTGGATTCCGGAGCAACCCACGCACTACGCCCTGCAACGTCTCGAAGTGAACTTGATAGCTGCTTTAACGCGGAAGTCACGCTTGCAGGGGATCAGAAGGTGAGCCTTCCTCAGACTCAGAGTGGGGTGATACTGGCGGAGGAGGCACAGCCTATCGTGCCGCTGGGCTCGCTGGTCAAGTCCCTGGGGTACGAGTTCGTGTGGAACAGCCGAGGTTGCAGACTTCGTCATGATTCACGACCGGAGATACAGGTGTTCACGCGGTCCTCGTGTCCGGAGGTGAGGGAGTGCGACGCGCTGAGGCTCATCGCAGAGTTGGAGTCGCAGAAGGTGGAGGCGAGCATGCAGTCCATCGCGGAGCTCAGAACTGCGATCGTGGCGGCAAAGCAGAAGCATCCTGGAGGGTGGAAGGGGTACTTGCAGGAGTATGTGCGTTCGGGGGACATGGCGGATGGGCTTCGGGCGGTGTTTGAGGCTCCGTTCATGCAACACGTCCCAGTGGAGAACAAGACCGACGTCCTAGAGTACATTCCCAAGACACCAGAGGAAGCGTGGAAGCTTTTGAAGAGGATGCCGTTGAACCGCTCGAGACGGCGACAGTTGTGGAGGGCCAAAGGATGGGTGGTTCATCTATTCGCTGGACGAGGCGTCAAAGGGGACCCTATCAGGCATGTGGCTGGTGAGATCTTGGAGGTCGATATCGCCACGGGATGGGACTTGCTCAACAAGGAAGTGTACGCGCTGCTGTTGTGGGCCGCAATGCAGAGAAAGATCAAGGCCGTGATCGGTGGCCCCCCATGCCGGACGTTCTCCCTCCTGAGGTATCGGGACACTGGTGCTGAAAGTACAAGGATGCCCAAGCCGGTGAGATCGGCAGAGCACTTGTGGGGGTTGCCGAACCTTGGGCCTGATGATCGTGAAATGGTGAAGGCAGACAATCGCCTCATTTTGAGGATGGTCTGGCTGTGGCTGGTGGCGGAGGCGAGCTTGGAAGAGGACGAGGTCGATCAATGGACGTTCGACAAGGTGGGGTTTGGTTTTGAGCACCCTGATGATCCGCGGGAATTTCTGGATGAGAGGAACGAGCTGTGGTCGCTATGCCCTTCGGTGTGGAGGACGCATCTGATGGAAGAGCTGGAGGAGGTGCTGGGGCTTGTCAAGTACCAGTTTGATCAAGGAGCGTATGGTCATGAGCAACGAAAGCCAACGGCATTCCTGGCGAACATGCAGATGAACCTCCGGGCTCGGGACACGCGACGGGAGACCCCAAGGCCTACCTCGTCGGCGTCAATGGCAGTGTGGGCACCTGGATTTCGCAAGGAAATTGCTCGGGCGCTACTTCAACGGCATCTGTGGGAAGGAACAGCGCAGCTGAGGGCGATGACGGCAAAGGAAGCGGCTGGATGGAAGGATCACCTCGATGCTGGTCACTGGCCTTATCGCCGGGACTGTGCAGTTTGCCTGGCGGCTTCAGGATCGGGACGACCGGCACGTAAGGTCTTGCATCGTGACGCCTACGTCTTGAGCCTAGATGTCGCGGGAGCTTTCAGAGACCTGGGCATAGACGAGAAGACGGGGCGAAAGTACAGGTTTGTGCTTGCTGGGACCTACATCTACCCGAAGGGTTACTCTGTCCCCAAGGATCAAGACATCCCTTTAGGAGAAGTTCCACAAGCAGTCGCTTCAGATTCACCAGGCGTTCCACAAGCAGTCGATCCAGATTCACCAGGCGTTCCACAAGCAGTCGATCCAGATTCACCAGGCGTTCCACAAGCAGTCGCTCCAGATTCACCAGGCGTTCCACAAGCAGTCGATCCAGATTCACCAGGCGTTCCACAAGCAGTCGCTCCAGATTCACCAGGCGTTCCACAAGGAGTTGGTCCACAAGGGGATCAGGAGGAGGACTGGTTTGAAATGGAAGATGAGGAGGAGGGAGATGAAGCGAACGACCTGGTCGAGGGTGAAGAAGCAAGCGAAAAGGAATGGAAAAAACTCGTTGGTGACCTGAAGAAGCCCCATGAGTTCCAGATCCTGAGGTTTGCTATCCCGTTGGAGAAACATCGCGGAAAAGAAGTGTTGGAGGCGGTACAAGACATCTATGTCACTTTGAAGTCATGGGGGATGCCGCTTGCCAGAATCCATTCGGATAGAGCCAAGGAGTTCAGAACGCAACCTTTGCGCCGTTGGTGTCGAGCGAGAGACATCTTCCAGACATTCACGGAGGGGTGTGCGCCGTCTCAGAACTCTGTGGTGGAAGGAGGCGTGAAGTGGTTGAAGTCAAAGGCTAGATTGTTGCTTGGGGCGGCCGGTATCGAGAAGAAGTTCTGGCCGTGCGCAATGAAGGAAGCCTGCGACGCTCACAACCGCAGGATGTTGGCGAGGCCTATGAGAAAGATCCGTTTTGGGTCGGTGGTGTGGATCAAGTCGAAGAAGACCCATGGCCCATTTGACCCAAGGTGGGAAAAAGGAACGTACCTAGGCCCGACCGAAGATGTGCGTGAAGGACATGTGGTGTTGTTGGAAAATGGAACGTGGCTTCGGACACTACATGTAAGGCTTGTTCGAGATGATGAGTACGAAGAGGTTGCCCCGGAGTATGCCGTGGATTGGGTGGAGCCTTCGAGAAGAGTGAGGGGAAAGATGCCCTTGAGTGACCCAGAAGTAAGAAAACTGAAGGGCTACCAGGACATGTCGAGGGAGCAGCTGGTGAAGAGGCTTTTGGGGTCAGATATTTGGACCAGCAAAGAAGCTGTGGCCAAGCGACCACAGCTACGCGAAACTTCGGAGGCTGACGAGGACGTGGCGTATGTGACGCTTGGGGCTTACCAACATGGAGGAATCGTAAACGTGACCAACGCCACTATGAAGTATGAGGAGGACGTTCGAACTGCCGCTGCGTTGCTTCGACATGATTTTCCCGGAGAGACCTTCACTTCGATGGCCCTGGTGAAGAATGCCGTGATGCCTATCCACCGGGACAGCTACAACATGAAGGGAACAAGCAACTTGGTATCGCCGCTGAATGTGACGAAGGGCAGCGGTGTGTGGCAGGAAATGAAGGTCGGAGATGAGTTCAAGGGGAAGTATGAGGCGCGGCGGTTCAATGGGAAGGAGGTGCCGGGCCAGATCTTCGAGATGAAGGGGCCAATGGAAGTAAATCCTTCACGTCTACATGAGCCAGTACTTGGAGAAAAGGGTCCCAGAATACTGGTTGTGGGCTTTACAATCGCCGCCGCGTGCAAGCTGGAGCCAGAGAAGGTTGACTACCTGCGAAGACTTGGTTGTTGGCCTTTAGAGCAGCTCGCCAAGGACGAGACCATCGATTGTCGACCTCATGCAATGGGAGACCAAGAGCTTGGTGGAACCAGGGAGGATGAGTTGGTGATCCCGGGAGGGCGAGTCAGCTTGAGAACGAATTGGTCGTTGCGATACCAGCCAGAAGAAGACAAGGGCAAGGAGAAGGTCGAGGAACCAGTACCAACGCTGCCTTTGGGGAAAGAAGAGAGATTGTGGCTGGAAGAAAGGGCAATGGCGCTAAGGGCGTTGATCGTTGAAGAGGCAAAATGTGCTGATCAGCGAGAAGATGAAGGTGAAGAAGTGGACGAGATGATGAATGAGAAGGTCATGGATGCAGAAGAGGAATTGGACTTCGTGCAAGAGATCCTGACGGAGGACGCGGGTGAGAAGGATGAGCGGTCGGTAAAGGCGATCAACGACGTGAAGGTTCGTTTAGCAAAAATGGCAACAGATGTCACCACGGAGAACGTGGAGGGGATCTTGAAGGAATTGAAGGAGCCGCTCACTGTGACACACACGGTCGCCCTCCCCGAGGTTAAGGCGAATTTGCCCAAGTGGGTGCCAAGCATCATGAAAGAGGTCACGCACCTGGAAGGAAATGGGACGTTGGTTCCGATTCCCCTCCCAGAAGCAAAGCGAATGCAAGATCGGGGAGAAATTACGCTGGTGCCGGCCAAGACGGTGCATACGGTCAAGCCTCCGGATGTGGCAGCGATCGCAGACCAGGCGGAGCAAGAGAGGGAGCACGTAACCCAGAAGAAGGGGGAAGAGGTCCTTGAGGGCAACGGAGACGCCGGATTGTTCAAAAGGAAGTCGAGGCTGGTGATCTGCGGGAACTACATCAAGGGCGAGACGGAGGTGTTCACGACGGCCGCCAGTGCGGAAAGCTTGAGGTGCGGATTAGCATTCGCTGCACAAAGAAACTGGGGGGCAGCAATCACAGACATCGCATCGGCGTTCACTCTAACCCCAATGTCGGAGTCCAGCGTGCGGTACGCCATAACGATCCCGAAGGTGATTGTGGATGCAGGGTGCGCCCCACCGGACACCGCATATCTGGTCGAGAGGCTCCTCTATGGCTTGAAGGAGGCGCCGAGACTATGGGGCAACTTTCGTGATCGCCGGATAAGAAGGGCCAGAATCCATGTGGGACAAAGAGAATGCAGGTTCGTCCAGATGGAAACGGATCCGGCGGTTTGGAGATTGGTTCCCATGGATGACGAGACAGAGACCATTGCGATGATGATCGTGTACGTCGACGATGTGATGTTCCTGGGCGGGAATGAGGAGATCATGAAGATGTACTCCTGGTTGACAAAGGGTGATGATGGAGAAGAAGGATGGAAGTGCTCAGACCTGGAGTGGGTGGGTCAGAGGCCAGTGAGATACCTCGGTATGGAGGTGCAAGGCCGAGTTCGCGATGGAAGGATCCAGTACCACATCAGCCAGGGTGGGTACATCGCCGACCTGATCCGGGAGTACGGCATGGAAACCGAAAAGCCCGCGCAGGTGCCCGCAACAAAGGACCTCATCCTGCACGAAGAAGAGGGCGATCAGGAGGAGGGAGAAGCAGATGAGGAGCAAATTCGGGCGGCTCAAACAGCTGCCGGAGAGTTGTTGTGGTTGGCCACTCGAACCCAGACCGGACATAAGCTTTGCCACGAGCTATGTCTGTGCAATGGCGACGCGGAACCCGACGGCTGCTCTTCGTTTGGCTCACCACGTGCGTCGCTACCTCCTCAACACGCCTGGAATGGGTTTGGTCTACAAAGGGTCGCAGCATGCGGTGGAGACTTTCTCTGACGCCAGCTTCGCGCCAGGAGGAGGAAAATCCTTCGGCTGCAGCGCTATATCGCTATTTGGGGGCTTTGTGGCATGGCGAATGACAAGGCAAGCTCTGATAACGCTGTCTACCGCGGAGGCGGAGTTGTACGAGTTGATCGCCGCGCATCAGCTTGGATTGGGTATCCAGGCATGGGCCACCGAGGTGCAGAGTGATGTATGCCAGGCCATAAAGGTCGATAACACTGCAGCTCTGGGGCTTGCAAGCACGGCCCCGGGGACGTGGAAAACACGTCACCTCCGCGTGAGAGCACGTTTCCTTCGCCAAGAAGTGTTGGCCCAGCGCGTGTCCTTACATCATGAGCCTGGAGAAGGACAGCCAGCAGACTTAGGTACCAAGCCGGTGCCGGCTCCTCGGTTGGTTGTGCTCCGTGATTTGTGGGGTATGGTACCTGCAGAGGCTTTCCTACAAGAAGGAGGCAATGAAGGGGCGCGAGTGCAAACAATCTCGTCAAGACAAGAGGTGGTGAAGATCATGGCGCTGATGATTGCGATGATGTCAGTGCAAGGGGCACGGGCCGAAGAAGTGCTCAAGAGGCCAGTGGAGGTGGATGGAAGCGTGGAATTCTACGTATGCGTGGTCATCGGAGGAGTGGCATTGCTCGGAGTGTGGGAGTTTGTGAAGGTGCTGGTTGCGTGGGTGTGGAGAGATCGAGAAGAAATGGCGATGAGAAGAACAAGAAGGCTGATGAAAATCAGAGATCAGGCCGCTCGTGCTCTACATCGTGAACTGGCAGAGCTGGAAGATGAAGGAGAGCAAAGGGATCCGCCTGGTGTCAGGGCTCAAGATCCAACAGCTGAGGTGCACCCCGCTTCTTCGTCTTCTACAACCCCGATGCCACAACAGCCCGATGGAGAAGAGGGCGTGACGGTGGCCCGAGCCGCGAGGGAAAGAATGGACTTCAGATGCCTCCAGACCCCATTCGTGATGTCGGAGCATGGGGACAGGATCCACGTTCGAGAAGAGTGCCATGGGCTGAGGCACGCGAACAAGGCCAAGTTGCGCAAGATCAAGTACTGTTCGTGCTGTGCTGAGAGCTACCCTTTGTACTATAGGACCCCCTTCGGCGACCCAAGGCTTGGGTAAGTACAGGACGCATCAAGGAGGACATTTTGTCTTCGACTCCAAAATGAGGAGGAGTGCAGATGCGTCAAGTTGATTCACAAGAAGGCCATGTAAAGAACAAGGTCCGATTGCCCGCCGCTGTACACACCCAAGGGTTGGGCTACGTAAGGACCTTGAGCCAGTGTGAGGAAAACATGTATTTCAAAACAATGGCATGGAGCCATTCAAAGCAGCACATTGTATAGGTTGTGCAGATATGTTACTCGCCTAGAAGGCCAAGTGGAGTGAAAAATCGATACGCCATGGAAGCCTCAGATGCTGACTTTGCACAAGCCCTGAGTTCCGAGTTTGGTCCCAATGCCCAGCACTAAACCCTAAATAGTAAAGACTCCGCTCCTCCACTCGCCAGCTCCGGCTGGCCTTTGGGGGGCCGCCTTTCTTCCGGCGCTTCAGCTCCCGGCAGAAGGGCGGCGTTGAGTGCGAGCCAAGCCGGGACTCGCTGCCCTGGGTTCAGGGCTTAGGGTTTAGGGTTTAGGGTTTAGGTTGGGATGTTCCCCTTTTACTAACAGTCCTTAATATCATGACCCCTGTTACGGAGGTTCTTACAAGGGAACATTCCAAGGTTTAGGGCCTCGGGACGTAGGGGTTTAGGGTTGAGGGTTGAGGGTTTAGGGGTTAGGGTTTAGGGTTGTAAGGGCTAAGGGTCAGAATGTTGGTAACTCCATGGCAAGTTGCCGAGCATGGCATCTTTCAAAGATGCAGCCTAGCTTGGGGAGAACCCTGCCTCAAGAACCTAAAACCTACCTTTTTTGCATGCTACCCCAGAATCCTGTAAGGTTTTGTTTATACTACGAACCTTGAAAAAGCAGTTTTGGGGTGCTTGTATAAGGTAGACTGCGAGGAGGCGTTAAAGGGCCAAAATATGTGGGATGACGGCTTAAGCAGGTGAGGGTTTAGGGTTTAGGGTTTAGGGTTTAGGGTTTAGGGTTTAGGGTTTAGGGTTTAGGGTTTAGGGTTTAGGGTTTAGGGTTTCGGTGAGCCAAACCCGGCCGCGTCCTGCACATCCGTCTTAAGTGTGCCATGGAACTGCCCTCCTGCAAGAAGACCCTGTCACAGAGTGGTGGTCAAAGACCTAAACCGCAAACCCTAAACCCCAAACCCTAAACCCTAAACCCTAAACCCCAAACCCCAAACCCCAAACCCCAAACTCCAAACCCCAAACCCCAAACCCTAAACCCTAAACCCTAAACCCTTTAGAAGATCGCAATTATGGCCCGGAAGGACACCTCCCTGCAGGAACGTGATGACAGTGCCTGGGCATCCTGGCTCAAGGCATAAAGGCGCGTTCAGCACTCCGCGCAGCACTGACGCAGCGGTTTAGGGTTCAGGGTTTAGGGTTTAGGGTTGAGGGTTGAGGGTTTAGGGTTTAGGTCTGCGCCAGCCATGGCCAGTCCCCAACGCCCTGATAATCTCATAAGACTCTACCTCGGAGCCCTTAAGGTTGTACCTTGGGCTTGGGGGCCCCTTCTAAAGGCCCTCTAAGGGAATATATAGAGGCCATCTTAGGAGCATATTCAGGGAAACCTCTAAGGGTGCAGTCTTTGGGGTACGAGTCTTAACCCCTTTGACAAACCCTAGACCGCCTAAACCCTTTTGCCCTCACGGGCCTCCTCAAGAAAGCACCCGCCTCGATGGCCTTGAACCGAGGACCCATGAACCAAGACAAGCCTGGAGCGCACGAAGGAGCAGCTTCTCAGCTGCACCTCTTTGATTTTTGTTTGGTTTGTCTCGCTCTGCTGTCTCTCTTTCTCTCGACTCCTGGCACCTACTATCCTGCTCTATACTCACTATATGCTAAAGCTCCCCTTTTTAAAAAAGAATATCATGCCATCCTCGATGCAGGTCTGAGCGTCTCGGCATGGGCGGGCCGGAGACTTCACGACACAGCAGAGCAAGATCAGGACCATGGCACTGGTGTTTGGGGGCTTACAGCCCCATGTACCCATCTAATAGTATATACTTGCGCCTTAAAGGGGGTTCCTATACAGTAGCTTTAGGGCCCAAATATCCAAATATGTACTATGCGGGTACATGGACCTTAGGGTAGGGATTGCCTATAGACACCGTCCGAACAGAACTGATCGTTCTTGTGGGCTCCGTATGGTGTAGGTTCCGTCTTTTTTTGGGGTTTGGGCACTTAGCCTGACATTCAATAGCAACATGCACGAAATCAGAAGTGGACCCCCCCCAGCATGAACATTGAATTGCAGACCCCGGAGAATGTCGCCCAAATCTCGTGCAAGGTTTCGCACATGCTGGTACACAAAGAGCCCAAATACCCCTTAATTGAGGAACATACCTTACATCACGTTAAGGGTCCGTTTATAAAGTAAGGTAAGTTCCTTAACCAAGGGGTATTGGCCTCTTTGGGTAACTCGATTAAGAATAAGGGCCCCTGTCGAGAACCTGCCGGAAGCACCTAAGCCATCCTCGAGGGCTACAAATGAAGCCCCCTTCCGTGGGATCATGCGCCCGATTACGGTCTGCGGGACCGCCATAGGCCCCTTTAGGGTTTTCAACTGGGGGTTTCCGAAAATAGGGGGTGCCCTTTTCGGGGGGTTCCCATTAGTAAGGAATTGCAGTTATTTTGGGAAATATTAGGGGGTACCCCGACCCCCCTATTTTTTTGGGGCAGTCCCCTCTTCCTTTGCCAGTTCTGGGCCAGGCTTGCCGACTTCGACTTCTGCGAGGTTCTGCGAGGCTTCCAAAAGTCTGCTGGCGGGCCATGGCTGTGGGACGTTCCCGCTGATACTAACAGCCCTTCATTGGGATTCTAGGACCCCCTTGATTGGGATCATAGTACCCAGTTCATAGGGGCTATAGTACCCCCCCCCCCCCCCTTTATTCCTATCCCGACTACGGGCTGTTAGTGTAAGGGGGAACATGCAAGACATGACTGTGAGTCCTCCCAGTATCGCGGACTTGGGCCGCAGAGTCCGGAACTTGTGGGCCGAATGTGTGGGCCGCATGGCGCCTGTGAGATGCTGGGGTTTAGGGTTTAGGGTTTAGGGTTTAGGGTTTAGGGTGGATGTTGTGACCGGCTTACATGCTGCACTCCATTGCAGGAGCCAATCATACTGAATCATACGGTTTAGGGTTTAGGGTTTATAGGGCTTAGGGTTGCAATGTGCGACGAGACGACCTGTCTTGTGAGAGCCTGCAGACAGGAAGGATAGAAAAACGCGCGCGCGGAGCAAACAGCAAGGAGACTGCCTTGGCAAGATCCCCTTTTTAGGATCCCCATTTGGGGTTTAGGGTTTAGGGTTTAGGGGGATGGATCCCTCTTGTTTAAGACCCCCTTAAGGCTCCCTTTGAATCGTTAGCCTTGAGGCCGTGAGCTTCTGTCAAGCAAGTGGAGGGTTCAGGGGGTTTGCGGGTTTAGGGTTTAGGGTTTTTTGGGGGGTTTACGATATTGGGGGTACCTTGTTGGGGTCCTTATCACAAGGGGATCCGACTATTTGTGGATTCAATTTTTGGCTATTCTCGTAAACCCCCGGGGATTTGGCCCCGAGTCCCCTTAAACCCGAAACCCAAACCCTAAACCCTAAACGGCTTCTGAGGAGTTGGGAGTCGAGGGGTTGCTGAGGTCAGGTGCGTCGCTGTCGACCCTGGTCTCAGACTACATCCCCTCCGTGCGCAGGCGCGGGTCCTAGTTTCGACCCCAGGCCACCCTTATTCCCTGAACCCTAATTCCTAAACCTTGAGGGTTTAGGGTTTAGGGTTTAGGGTTTAGGGTTTAGGGTTTAGGGTTTAGGGTTTAGGGTTTAGGGTTTAGGGTTTAGGGTAACTTCAGGAGCTTGACTTGAAGTCCTGAAGCACTGGCTCCCGAGCCTCTGCAAAAACCCGTAAACCCTGAAGCCCTCCAAGGTACGTGCTGTTAGATGTGTGCGTATACTCTCAAAATATTCAGACATATATGTGTGTGTGTATACATACATATCTCTATTATTTGTTATAAGCCCTAAACCCCTACACTAAACCCTAACAAAACCCTAAACCCCTGAACCCTAAACCACTAAACCACTAACCCCTAAACCCCGAAACCCTAAAGCCCTAAACCCCGAAAGGCTTCAACTCCCTAAACCCCTAAACGCCTAAGCCTCTAAACCCTAACCCCCCCCCCCCCCCCCCCCCCCAAAGCCCTACACACAAAGGCTTATATCAATATACGTATCCCGAAGCGAAACCCTAAGCTCCTGAACCCCTAAACCCTAAACCCCTAAGCCCCTAAACACTATATACTAAAACCCTAAACACTACATGCTAGAAGCCTAAACACTATGTACGATTTGCTATAGCCCTAAACACTATATACTAGAACCCTATAAACCTAAACCCCAAGTTAAATCCCTAAACCCCTAAACCCTAAACCCTAAACCCTAAACCCCTAATTAAATCCCTAAACCCCTAAAGGCTTCAGCTCCTCGCCATGTTGGGATCTGTGGCCTTCACGCTGGCGTCCCTCACAGCCGGCACCAGCAATGCGCACGTCTCTTGGCTCCAGGCTTTAGGCTGTAGGGTTTGGGGTTTAGGGCTAGGGGTTTAGGGTTTAGGGTTTAGGGTTTAGGGTTTAGGGTTTAGGGTTAGGGTTTAGGGTTTAGGGTTTAGGGTTTAGGGTTTAGGGCACCTTAAGGAATAGGGCATGCTGAACTACCTTGGGGTCCTTGCTAGGATCGAGCTCTTTGAGCCTCAACGCTCTTCCTGAAGCAAGTGGTCTAGAGTATGGATCTTCGCTGCCCTCGATATGAAGCAGGGTTTATATTTCTGTTTTGGTGAGTGTATATAAGGTTCCTCTTTCATATTGGTGAGTGTCTATACCTGGTGTCCTTTTGGGGGGTACAAGAAATATATACCCTGCTTCATATCATGAGACTAGCACAGCGATGTCTGCTTGGCATTCTGTGTTGCTTGATGCATCTTCACTTTGTTCTATTTGTTGACATGGTGCACGATGGCTCTAAACCCTAAACCCTAAACCCTAAACCCTAAACCCTAAACCCTAAACCCTAAACCTGGGCATGAGCGCGCAGTCGCCCTCGAGTCACGAGTACGCGCCCGCGGCTTTGCAGGCGCTTGCGTCGGTATTCCTGGCAGACTTTCGCTTTCGCTGTATGACCCAAAGGTTTCTTTGCAGCCTGACATGTAGCCTGCTTACTAAGCTTGAAGAGCACTAGAGCATTGGGGGTTCCCCGAACATTGAAATTGGGTGCAGGGTCACCCTCTGCCACGATGCCTCAAGGTATATGAACCCTCGAAGCCTCCCAAGGGCTCGTGGCCCCCCAAGAAAAGGAAGCATAAGCCACACCAATTG